TCCCTACGCGACGCTCTTCCGATCTTACCCACATCAATTTTTCATATATTTATATATATTATATATATGTATATATGAAAAATATATCAAAAGTGCATGTGGGTACTCAAATGAAAGCTCTTGATGAGTGTAACGCCAGGATGAGCTTATATATTTAAAAATGTCATTAGTTCTCAAGATACGTAATTAAGAAATGATCTTGTATCTTGTGAACTATTGAAATTGTTAAAGATATAAGCTCATCCCGACATTACACTCATCGAGACCTTTCATTTAAGTACCCACATCAATTTTTCCTATATTTCATATATTTATATATATTATATATGTGTATATATGAAAAATATATCAAAAATGCATGTGGGTACTCAAATGGAAGCTCTTGATAATTTTAACATCAAGATGAGCTTATATCTTTAAAAATATCAATATTTAAGAAAGTAAAGTGCAATTTATAAGTCATTATTTCATAAACCAAAATTTTATTTATTTACAGTTCACAACTCACGGCAGTCACGTAGTGACTGCAATGGTTGTTTGATTCAATTAGTGGAAAGAATTTTTTTATTAATAAAAATTTTTAAATTCCTTCTTTTCTTCACTGATAAAAATTAATTTGATTAAAAAAATGATCAAATAAATCTTTATAAATTATAAAACAATTATTTTTTAATTGTTTTAAATTATTATTCAAAATATTTTGAAATTTTTATACTTAATCATAAAAAATTTGTTAAATTAATCTTAAATTCTGCACCAAAAGTTTCTAAAATTTCTTCTAAAAGCCCTAAAAAATAAAATAATAAATATTAAAAAAAAAAAAAATCAATATTCAGCACCATCCTGAAAAAAGTAGAACCACTTCCGCCGCCTGAAAGGAAGCCTCACCTGAAGTAGAAGCGTTGTAGAGCTCAATAACCCTCGCGTCATCATCAAGATGCAGGCGCTTGGCATGAGTCAGAATATTCTGCTTCTTGACAGACTTGTAGTTGCACTGGGAGCACTTGAACCTGGGCGGTTTACCGCAGTGGTACTTAGTATGAATGTACCTAGCTTCATTGTTCGAGAACACGCGGTCGCAGTTCTCATTCGAGCAGGCGTACTTAACCTCACCAATTCTGATGCAAGTTTCTTCTCCTGAAAAAAATATATTTTTATTAATTAGTACCTCCTCACAACGATTCCTTACAATCTCAATTACAACAACAACAACAATTAACTAAATTAATTAATTAAATTAAAACACACTAATTAAAACACATACAGAAAATTATTATTAAAACGGAAAGTACAATTGAGTACAAAAAAATTCGTGATTAATCTCATTAATCATTATTAATTTTATTAATTTTCATTTTGCAATTGCGCGACTTCAAGCACGCGAAAGCGGAACTGTTTCTGCGCATGCTTATTGCGCAGGTGGATTTTCATCGCGTTTTTAAACTGAGATTTAAAGGGACAGTACCAACATCTGTACTTGTGATTTTTATTGCAAAATTTTAAGTGATGATTTAAACTCTGCTTTGTTTTATAATTGCGCTGGCATTTTTTATTCGGACAAGGGAACCTTTGACCAAAAAATTGGTTCTTCTTCTCGCTCTTAACCTTATAAGCGATTTCATTTGTCAAAAAGTAATTACTTTCAAGAAGATCATCAGAAATAAGCTCCCCTTGATTATTATCTCCATTAACCAAAAATTCAGTTTCCGATTTAATAATTGCGTTCCTCTGGATAGTAAGCTGCCTTTTCCGATTAATTTCCGCGCGCTTTTTCAAAATTTCTTCCCGCTTTTTATTGTGAATCTCCACGCACTTCCTCACATTCAACCCAGTAGCAACTGAGACGGAATTTTCTTTCTTCTTTTTCTTCAAAATCCGTTTCTTCGGCTTTAGTCGCTTTATTTTAGACTTATCATCGCAATCCGGTTCCAGGAACTGATTGTAATTATTGAACTCAGGAACGTGATTGTAATTATTAGCGTGGAAATGGTTGATCAATTGTGTCTTGGGTGTTTTTGGGCGGTGAATGCAGTGTCGTGAAAAGTGGGTATTTCGGGCCTTCCATTTGTCAAAAACGCGGTTGCAATTGGGGTTAGGACACGCGTACTGGACCGCTTCAATTTTAATCGTCGATAAAATATCCTCTGGCTCCCTCTTCACCCGGAAAATTGAAACGTCCGGCTTGTAATCTGAAACAAAAGGCTTTGGTTAGTAAAAATTGTAAAAAATAATTTTTTATTATAGATTAGTAAGGAAGAAAGCGTTATCACGGCAAGCATGCGTTTGAAAGGAAGAAATAAAGAGACGATATTGTTTTTTTTTTTTTTTGTTCTAATTAAAAAAATTTTTTCGGTCTATTATTACAATTTTCATATCAGGATGCTTTTTTGTCGTGTGAATTTTAATATTTGTTTTTAAGTGAGAAGAAATTGCACAGTAGGCGCATTTGTAACGATGAGGTTTGCCGCATTGGTGCTTATAATGCCGGTTTCGATTGTTTTTATCGTTAAAAACACTCTTGCAATTCGGATTTAAGCACGGATAAATTATTCCCGAGTATTCGGTAGTTGAATTTGGTCTTCTGTACTGCCGACGTTGACCAAAATTTGGAGAATATTCTGGAAATAATAAAAATATTGTTAGTAAAAAATTTAGTTTTAAAATTCTAAGCATGCTCTTTGATTTGCAAAATTAAATACTGAAAAAAAAAATTTTATCTGTGAAATAATTTGGGAAAAATTTTATTTTTTAAAAAATTTTATTAATATAAATCAATAATTTGAATTTTAAAATTTGTATGCTTCCTCTTGGAGTGTTCTTTGATATTTTCGCGTAAATTAGAGGTTAATTCGCAGTACGCGCACTTGTATCTCGGCGGTTTTCCGCATAAATGTTTGTAATGCGTGTTGCGGTTTTTCTTCGTTGAAAAAACACTGTCGCAATTTGGATTCAGACATGGATAATTTCCTCCCTTGGATGTAAACCGCTTTCTGGAAGTTCCTGGAAAAAAATATGATAGATTAATTAAAGAAGTAAACTTTAAGGCGGACGCATGCGCTGAAGAAGAATATAGACAAAATTCGAGTTAAGTTTATTTTATTAGTTACAAAACAATACTTTAAGTACTAAAGTAAATTTATAATTTACAATGAATAATTTATAATAATATTAATAATTAATATTTAAATTCTCGCCCATATTCAAAATATTTTAAATCAATTAATTTTGAGGATTTGGACAATAAATGAAGTTAAATTATAAGAATTGCAGCGTTTCGCTGATTTATTACTAATAGTCAATTTTTTTATAATAAGTATTTAAGCTGGATTCGAAAATGCTCTATCTCTATGTACATAATTAAGAAATGACCTCGTATCTTGTGAACTATTGACATTTTTAAAGATATAAGCTCATCCCGATGTTACACTCATCAAGACCTTTCATTTGAGTACCCACATCAATTTTTCACATATTTTGTATATTTATATATTATATATATATATGTATATATGTAAAATATATAAAAAATGCATGTGGGTACTCAAATGAAAGCTCTTGATGAGTGTAACATCGAGATGAGGTTATTGCAATTCTTATAATTTAATATCTTTATTTATTGTCCAAATTCCCAAGATTGTTATTTAAAATAATAATAATAAGATAGTTAATTATTTTTTTTAAAGTCATTAATGTCGCAGAATTCCATCATAGCGGGTTCTTCTGTCGCGGAATTAGGATGATCCAAGGGATCAACGTCGCGATATTCCTGTTCTGGGTGATTGTTCCGGGTATGATGTTTAAGATTGCACTTGTAGTAAGTCTTGTAAGTGCAAAAAGTGCACTTGTAACTCGGCTCTTTGCCGCACTCATAGTTAAGGTGAGCCCACAAGCTGCGCTTGGCTTTGTAAGTCCGCTTGCAGTTATCGTTCGGGCAAATGTAAATTTCCGCTTTCAAAGGACGATTTATCTCTATCACGTAGTTCTCCAGCTCCGGGTGGTGGTAGCCCGTGTGCTGTCTTACGTCATTCTTGTCACGTGATTTGTAGTCGCAGTACGGACACTTGTACTCCGGGCGCTTGTCGCACTCCAGCATGTGCCGCGTTAGGCTCGTTTTCCATGAAAACACTTTTAGGCAGTTTGGATTTGAGCACCGGTACTTTTGACCGCGAGGAGAAAATCCCGATGTTGATGGAAAGTTGTATTCCTGAGGAAGTCGGTTTCCGCGGGATTTTCCGATGAAGAAATGCGACATGTGGAAGTCTGAAAAATAAACAATTTTATGTTAGCAAAAAAATTTGACAACTCTTTTTTTTTTTTTTTTTTTTTTCTAGATGCGAGCATGCATTTATTTATAAATTGTGGATTTAAAAAAAAAAATAAAATTTTTGTGAATTATTATTTTTAATTGTAAAAGCGTACAGTTTAAAAAAAATTATGGACATAGGTAAAATTAAATTTTGATGTTTGAAAATTTATGGAAGAAATAATTATAAATTCATTTTTTTTTTTCAGTTCAAAAAGTTTATAAATGTTAAATAATTTTTCCGTCAAATAATTATTTATTAAATATTTCATAGTACCTATTTTGTATTAATTTTCTTGAATTAATACAAAAAAATGTGGAATATTTAACAAAAAAAAATTTTCTTTTAATTTTTCTTGTTAAATATTTAACAAAATATTTTTTTTTTTGGTAATAATAAAATAATTAATAATAAAAAAAAATAATTTAATAATTAATAATAAAAAAAAATAATTAATAAAAAAAAATAAAAAAAAGCTAGAATCAAAAAAAATTTGAAAATGTTAATTTTTTACCTAGTTGTGGCCCAAAATAAAGTTTACCCTACTTGTAAATAATTACCAAATTTTTTTTGTTAAATATTAAATATAAATTTTTCTTATTAAATTTTAAGTGTTTAAAATTTATTAAAAAAATTTTTTATAGAGTAATATTAAATTTTTAATAAAAAATTTAATTTTCTAGATAATTATTTCTAATTTCCAACATCAAAAAAACAATATAAAAATGACACATATAATTTCTAACAAAAAGCCAATTTAAAAATCATTTTCAATCGTTTCGGGAATTAAATCAACAAACTGAAAATCGTGATCGGGATGAGCTCTAGAGCAATGGCTCCTAACGCGGCTTTTAATACAATTTTTAAAATCGCAGTACGCGCACATGTACCGCGCAGGTTTTCCGCACTCGTACTTCAAGTGGGTCGACAAAATGGCGCGGGATTTGTAGCGCTTCCCGCAAGTAGGCTCGGGGCACACGTAATTCCGCTTAACAACAGTAGGATTGTAGAGTTCTACAAAACTGAGCTCCATTCCGGGGTGTTTTGACCGCGTGTGCTGCTTAATGGTGTCCTTTTTGAGAGTTCTGTACCCGCAATGCGTGCACATAAACCGCGGCGGCTTGTTGCAGTAATACCGCGAGTGAACATTGCGGTCGCACTTGTTTTTGAACATGCTCTTGCAGTTCGCGTTTGTGCAGACGTATCTTATTCCCGAGGCCGTGTTTATGGAGTGAGGGAAGTTTATCGATTTTCCTGGGTCTAATTGCAAGTTCCACTTGCTGAGGCGCTCTGCTGGAACTCCAAAACCTGCAAAGTAAATCAAAAGTTTTGAATAATCCCAAAAACTTGGAAAAAAAAAAAATTAGTTAATATTTTAGCAAAGAAGAGAAAGAAGAAATGTAATAAAAAGGTTTGTTTTAATAAAGAAGAAATTTTGGGTTTCAAAATTTTTTATTTAAATCAATTATTATTATTTTTGAATTTTTGTGCCTGCGGATCAAATGTTTCTTCACGTCCGTTGATTGGATTCCTCTGTAATTACAATATCCGCAGACAAATCGTCGAGGTTTGTTGCAGAAATGTTTCATGTGGAAATTTCGCGTCCGTTTGTTAGAAAATGATTTGCTGCAATTTGGCTGAGTGCAAGGAAATTTTTTGGAAATTTTCATCCAAAATCCTGAAAAATAAAAAATTGTTTGGTTAGAAAAAATTTTAATAAATTTTGATCATTTGGTGGAAAAATTTGGAAATTAAAATTCTTCTTAATTAGCACACTAAAAAAAAAATTAGCTTGATTTGAGAGAAAAATTTTTGAACCAAGAAAATAATTTTGAAGAGGATAATTTGTCTTGAATCAAGACAAAAAATTCTTGAATCAAGTAAAATTTCCTTAAACAAGTAAAAGACCCAATTATTGACATAGGCCTAGTTTTTTGACACTTGCAATTTTATTAATATAAAAAAAAATAGAATGTTCTCAAAAAACCAATTTTGAAATTTATAATTCAAAAATTATATTCATTAACTTGTTGTAAGCCAAATTTGTTTTTTTTTTTATCAAACTAAAATTGCAAGTGTCAATAACTAGGCCAGTGTCAATAATTGGGTCTTTTATCTTAGTTCAAGAATTTTTCTGCTCAAGTTAAGATGGTTAAATTCTTCAAAATTATATATTTGATTTTTTTTTTTGTGCAGACATTTGAAATTTTTTTTTTCAATTTCTTAATGTAGAATTTTTCTTTGTAGTAATTTAATTTTTATTACAACAAAATAAAATTTACAAACATAAATTTTCACAAAAAAATAAAAAATTACCTTTAAATATTTTTGAAAATTCAAAAAATTGTAAATTTTAAATAATTTTTATTTAAAATTCAAAAAATACAAGAAAGAACTAAATTTTAACCAAAAAAAAAAAATTATTCCATCATATTAACAACCAAAAATTCTTTATCCGGATGTTTTTCCCGCCAATGCGGCTTCATTCTCTTGAAAAGATTCTTCCGGAAGTCGCAGTAGAAACATTTGAACCTTGGAGGTTTTCCGCACTCGTATTTAACATGCGCTCGGCAATCCGCGGCTGTCTTGTACCGCTTTTTGCAATTTTCATTTGGACATTGATAAGTTCCCGCGCTCATTTTTGGAGTTATTTTAGCAGTAAGTTGAGTAATTGAAAGGATATTGGTCTTCATTCCGCCGTGTTTTTGGCTCGCGTGGCTTTTTACGCTTGAAAGCCACACGGCTTTGAAATCGCAGTAGCCGCAGTGGTACTTTGGTTGCTGGCAGTTGCTCTGTAGGTGTTTTTTCAAACTTTTCTCGGTTTTGAAAGTCTTTCTGCAGTTTTTATGGGGACAGGAGAGTCCAGTAGGCTGAGCCAAAGGTTCTGGGGGCTCTTCTGATGGTAAAGATTGGTCAAATGCAGACGTGGGTGATAAAACGTCGTTGAGAAATAGCAGAGAGGTTTGAATACCTGGAAAATTAAGAAATATTAATTTTTATTAGAAACTTCTTGTGGAAATTTTGGAGGGTGGAAAACTTTTTTCTCATGCTCAAAAATTAACACATTAATAAAGTTGCAATTAAAATTTGTAATTTACATTTTTTAAAATTAATTGGCACCAATTTGATCTTTATATTGACACAAATTATAATAATAATAATAATAATAATAATAATTGGTGCCAAAAATCATTATTGTCTTCTTCTTTTTTGGATAATTTTTAATAAGCAAATTTTTATATGTGAAGACAAAATTTATTTATCAAAAATTTTTCCACAATTTAATTTTGGGAAAATATTGAAGAATTTTCAAATTTTTTTTTTTTTCATCTAACTTTTTTGAAAAATTTGAATCACAAAAGATTAAAATTTAAATTTTGTGCATTAAAAATTTTGAATTAAATATTCACAATTTTTTTTCTAATCAAAATTTTTTAGTCTCGAATTTTGATACTTTAAAAATTCAATTTTTTTAAAAAAATTTAAAGTTTTTTTTAATTGATTTTTAAAACTTTATTTTTGAAACATTTTATATAAATCCAGTTTTCAAATTTTTCATTCAAAATTAGAGCAAAAAAATTTTTAAATTGATTTTTTTGAACCTGGAACAAAAAAAGTGTTAATTATAAATATTTAATGATTTTTAATCTATAAAAAAAGAAGCAAAATTAAACATATAATTAATTTATGCCCAAAAATAAGATAAATATTAATAATTTATTAACAATGTGTCCATCTAAATATAATTAAACTCTATTAAAATAACTACAAATAAAATTAAACACTGAAATCAGTAACTGGATACTCAAAATTATACGCAGTAGTCGCCAAATATTTAATTTCTTGATCAGGATGTTTCAACCTGCAATGAGTATTAATCCTCCCGATAAAATTATTCTGAAAATCGCAGTAGAAACATTTAAAACAAGGAGATTTTCCACATTCGTACTTCAAATGTTTGTTCAAATCGTACTTGATCTTGTATTTCTTCTGACAATTTTCATTTGGACAAACGAAACTAGCGAACTCCTCGGCAGTTTTATACAACTCGATGATATTAAGCGGGGAATCCTTGTGGATATTGTTAGAATGGATCTTGACATTAGAAATCCTGGGGGCTTTGTACTCGCAGTAGCCGCATTTGAACCTCGGAGGCTTGTTGCAGATGTACTTCAAATGAATACGCAGAGAGTCTTCATTTTTGAACATTTTTCTACAATTTGAGTGCGGGCATATGAAGTGTTCAGGGGTCATTTTCGGGAAATATGGCTTCGGTGGTCGGCCGCGGCGGCGAGTGGTGAAAGCTTTTGGGTACGGCAAAATTGGTAGACCTGAAAAATTAAAATTTAGTGTTAAAATTTGAGATTTTAGTTTTAGCGCTTTTGGTTAGCGGATTTCACGCATGCATCTTAAGTTTCTTAGCAGTGTTATTTTTTGTGAATTTGTTTTTTTTGGTCTGAAAATTCTGAAACATAAATTGGTGATTAGTTTTTAAATTTTTGAAGAAATTTTTTGGGAAATTACTTTGTAAAAATATTGCAGTTTTATTTATTTCAAAATAAATACAGTCTATTGTAATTGTTATTAAATTATTTGATTTTAAGTAACAATTTAAAATAATTGTTTTATAAAATTATTTATTTGCTAGTTATTTATTACTGAGGAAAATTTCTTTAGGAGTTTCAAAAAAAATGATTCAATTTTTTTAATGTCAAAAGTAGATTTTGAAAAAATTAATATATTGAAATTTACGGAATTATTCCAAATTTTTTATCTAGATTATCAAGAGAATAAGAAAAATTTTATAATAGTCAATTTATTATAAGTATTTAGGCTGCATTTGAGAATGTATCTCTAGGTACATAATTAAGAAATGATCTTGTATCTTGTGAAATATTGAAATTTTTAAAGATATAAGCTCACCCTGACATTACACTCTTCGAGACCTTTCATTTGAGTACCCACATGCATTTTTGATATATTTTTCATATATACATATATATATAACATATATTTTAAAGATATAAGCTCATCCCGATGTTACACTCATCGAGACCTTTCATTTGAGTACCCACATCAATTTTTCATATATTTCATATATTTATATATATGTATATATGACAAATATATCAAAAATGCATGTAAGTACTCAAATGAAAGCTCTTGAGGAGTGTAACATCGGGATGAGCTTATATTTTTAAAAACGTCAATATTTAAGACAGTAAAGTGCAATTTATTAAAAGTCATTATTTAATAAAACTGCAAGATTGCTAGTTTTAATAAATTCTAACCTTAATTTTGTCAAAATTATTTTTATCAATTTGGTTAAAATTTTTCTAAATTATTGAAATTTTTTTTAATTTTTTGGAATTCATAAATATCAAATAAAACAGTCCAAAATTTGAATTTTTTTTTGTAAAAAAAAAAAAATATTTTTGAACCGTCTAAAGAAATTTTGCCCTTAAATTAATTAAAATCGAAAAATAAAAAAACTATAATTAAGTTATATTAAATACCCCTATAAAAAAAAGTTTCAGTCAAAAAAAAAATAATTTCATATACTTAAAAATTATACAAGTCAACAATATTAATCATTAATTCTGAGTGCGCTCTAATGCTATGTCTTTTAATATCCCTCGAGTAATGCGCCTTGTACCCGCAATACGCGCAATAGAACCTCGGAGGTTTATTGCAAATTTGTGACATGTGGGCTCTGCGCGACAGGTCCGTTTTAAATGTTTTGGTGCAATTAGAGTTCATGCAGGCGAATCTTCCGGTGATTTCTTCCGACTTGTCCCGACGATGGTTTCCCAATTTTATTTTCACGAACTTAAGGTCTGAAAACAAAAAAATAATTTTGTTAAAAAACATTTTATTGTAAAATCCAATTTTTTATGAAATTAAAAATTATAATTATAATTATAATTACAATTACAATCCCGTACATGTTAGAGCTACTTTGTGCTAAGATTTAATTTATAAATTTTTAAATATACAATTAATTAATTTTTTTACAAACTTAAAATTAATAAATTTTTTAGTAATTAAAGTTAATTTCTTCTTCAATAATTCTGACTTTTTCCAACGGATGTTTCCTTAAAGAGTGTTGATTAGCGACATGTTTAAAATGATGCCTAAAATTGCAGTAATAACACCTGAATTTTGGCGGCTTTCCGCACTCGTGTTTAATATGAGCGACCAAATTTCTCTCGTATTTAAATTTCTTCCCACAAGAAACCGACGGACAGTCGAAGAAATTCATTTTCAAACCCGGGTCGAACAATTCCAAGATATTAGCGAGCATTCCAGGGTGCTTGGACTCAGAATGTCGCTTTATGTCTTTAGAAAAGTGAGAAGTATGCCCGCAATACGCGCATTTGAACCTCGGTGGTCTATTGCAGGTGTGTTTCATGTGGTACTGTCTTGTTGCTTCGTTTTTGAAGGTCTTCTCGCAGTTTCCGTTGAGGCAAAGTAGCCTGTAGCCGTGGAACTGGTCAAAGTTCGCAACTCCAGGCATTTTGAACCCTGAAACATCATTAGAATTTTGTTAGTAGGGATTTTTGAGAAGAAATATAATTTTTTTTACCTTTTTTTAAAGAGCGGGGGAATTTAATAATGATAAAATATATTCAATCACCATTTTTATTTGACTACTCTACGGATACATGGGTTATACGAGTTATTTAAAGCTGAACTGAACGAAAGAGTGAAAAGTTTTTTTAATTGCTCTATAAAGCTTTTTTTGTGATTTTTGTAAAAATTTACAAGAATTAAGAAATGACCTTGTATCTTGTGAACTATTGACATTTTCAAAGATATAAGCTCATCCCGATGTTACACTCCTTAAGACCTTTCATTTGAGTACCCACATCAATTTTTAATATATTTATATATATTATATATATGTATATATGAAAAATCTATGAAAAATTCATGTGGGTACTCAAATGAAAGCTTTTGATGTGTTTAACATCGGAATGAGCTTATATCTTTAAAAATGCCAATAGTTAAAAAAGTACAGTGCAAGTTAACAATAATCATTATTTAATAAAACCAAAATTTTATTTATTTCTAGTTCACAAGTCACGGCAGTCACATAGTGCTAGTAAGAATTATTCTAAATAATTAAAAAAAATTTTTTTTCTATGAAAAAAAAAAAGATTCTAAATATAAACGAATATTTTTAATTTTTAAACAAAAAACTGCAAAATCAAAATTTTCTTTCGTTCAGTAAAATATTGCAATTATTTTTAATTAATCCCTAAATCTTCAAAAGCGCGCTATTATAAAATAACAATATTATAATAATAATAATAATAATAATAATCATTCACTACGTATTCTACGTATAAATTTTCTACGCTTATACTGATTGATAAAAAAAAACTTAAACCTGTTTCAAAATAAAAGTTCTGGAACCAAAAAAATAATTTTAAAGAATGAAAAAATTTCTTTTAAAATCTTCAAAATAATTTTCTTTTTCTTGTTTCAAAAATTGTTCCTTTGAATCAAGTAAAAATCTTTGAAAATTCACACCGATTCAGCTTTTAAATTAACATATCTAAACTCCTGCCCAGGATGATGTTTATTGCAGTGTTTCTTAATAGTAGCTTTAAAGGAATACTTGTAATCGCAGTAAAAGCACATGAACATCGCCGGTTTTCCACACTCGTACTTCAAATGTCGCTTGACATTTTGCTCGGAGCTATAACTTCTATTACAATTATCATTCGGGCAAGTATAAATTCGCTTTTGTTCAAAAGGATTGAACAATTCGTCTATTTTCAGCTCCAAGCCTTTGTGTTTCGCGGTTAGGTGCGCCTTTACGTAGTTCTTCACCGCGGAATGGTACTCGCAGTACCCGCACTTGTACCTAGACGGCTGATTGCAGTAGTACTTTGTGTGAATGTAGAAAGATTTTGCGGATAAGTATTTTCTTCCGCAGTTCGGGTTTGGACAGCACATTCCCGATGTGTTCTTCGAAGGCTTTTTCTTCTTTCTCGACGGCGGGTCGTGGCTTCTTCGCAGCACTATCGGCTGAGGATGTGCTTCTGAAACAAAGAAGACTATTTCATTAATGAATTTCTTCTTAAATTTTCAAATTAAAAAATTTTTACTTTTGTTAAAAATGTGTTAATTTTTACTACAATAGTTTTTGTTAATTTCTAAGCGTTTGGTGTTCAAGCTTTTACAAATTTTAATTAAAATTAACAATTATTTTTTTATAAATTTATTTTTATTTAAACTTCAACATTAGACTGAAGAAAAATAGTTTATATTATATAATTTTTTATAACATTAATATATCTTGATTTTGAAACTAATTTTTATACTAAGCATAAAATATATATTTTTTTCCAAGAATTTAACTCAATTTTTCATTAAATATTGCACTTATTTTATAATTAAAAATAAATTGACAAATTTTAATAGCAATATAGGTTAGACAATTTTTATATGAAGAAATAAGAGGAGGCTAGAGTGGAGATGCGCATCGGCTATTGCGTAGAAGCGACAAAATGGCTGCGCGCATTTTTATTTCACTCATAACCTTTTAAATTATTAAAATAATAATTTTTAAAAAATTATTATTGATAAATAATTATTAAAATTGCAATTATAAATTAATTAAAAAAAAAATTAGTTACTTTTTCTTAATTTAGAAAATTTTTTATCATTTTTAAAAATTAATTTTTTACCAAAAATATATTTTTTCTCCATGAAATTAACTCAATTTTTTATAAAATAATTTAGAAAAAAATAATTATTGATAAAAAAATATTAAAATTTCAAACTAATTTTGAAAAAATTAGTTACTTTTTTTAACTAAGGACAAAAAATTTATTTTTTGCCAACAATTTTTAAAGATAGATTTTTTTTAAATATAAAATTTTTTAGTATCACTTTTCAAGCTTATATATATTTTCTAAATATATATTTAATAATTTTAAACATCACTGGGGTGGTTAATATCTAAATCTTAAAAACTAATCCCTAAACCAAAATGAAAAATGAAAGAAGAAATAAATATCAATGAAGAATGAAAATATAAAGAAAAAAAAAAATTATTCCTCAATTTTAATAACATGAAACTGCCGATCCGCGTGCTTGGAATTATTATGAAGTTTAACTTCATACTTATAATAACTTTTAAAGTCGCAATAGAAGCACTTGAACCTCGGAGATTTGCAGCAGCGATATTTAATATGAAAAGTAACTCTTTCTTGAGTGTCAAAAGTTTTATTGCAAACTGCATTGGGGCAAGGAAAGCTGCTTCTTCTCAAATTAGGATCATGGAGTTCAATAATTTCCGTCTTTTGTTTCCTATGTTTAGCGACAGAGTGAAGCCTGACATTTTTTTTTGTGGTAGAATGGAAGTCGCAGTGGCCACACTTGAACCTCGGGGGCTTGTTACAGGACTTCATGTGAACTTGTCGAGCTCCGATGTTCTTGAACATCTTGTCGCAGTTTGGGTTCATGCATGCCAGCAGAGTGCTTGAAATTTTTAGTAATTCTTCATTCGGCATAAGGTTTTCGTACTTAACCAAAAAAAGCGGGTCTTTAGTGTCGTACTCTGGAACAAAAAATCATTTTTTGTTAATAACAATTAATTTTACAGCTATTTTCGCCCATTAGTATCTGTTAATTTTGTAATTGCTGTACTAAATTACTTACTAATTGTTAGTATTAGCATCTACGGAATATAGCTTCTATTATTTACATTATTTTACTGTTAATATTAGTTTTTTGGTGGAAAATAAGCTTTAGATTAACATTTTTGAGACTAGCGACAAAATGGCGCCCTTGGCGGCCTAAAATGGCGGATTTTAGTTTTGTAATCTTCCGGCGACCTGAAACACAAATTATTTCAATTAGTAATTTGATCAAAAATTAATTAATTATTATAAAGAAGAAATATAATAAATTTAAACAAAGTTTACCTGGTAATTAAATTTTTAGTAATTTTCTAACATATTTTTATTCAAATTTTATTAAAAAAATTTTTTATAAACAATTCGTGATAATATGTGCCTTAAAACATTAATTAGACTTACAAAATATATTAATATATATTATTTTTTATGAAAATAATCTTAAATACGGTAGAATCAGCTGTTTAACATCCGCCATTTTGAGAATTTGAATCTTTCATTCTTAGTGCGGGTATTTGAACATAATTACCAACAAAAACAGTAAGTTTTACTTTTTAAACAACATTTGATGAGTATAACTACTGTTTTTCTTCCTTAACTCTTTAAAAAAAATAAATTAAATTAATCTAAATAAAATTTACCTGATTATACAAAAATTTTAGCATTTTTTGATCGATTTTTTGTTCAAATTTTACTAAAAAAATTTTTTATAAACAATTAATGATAATATGTACCTTAAAACATCGATTAGAGTTACAAAATACATAAATATATATTATTTTTTGGTAAAATAATGTTAAATACGAGCGAATCAGCTGATCTTCGTTCGCCATCTTGAAAATTTAAATCTTTTGTTCAAAGCGCGGGTATTTAAATAAAATTATTTACAAAAATAGTAAAGTTTAATACTTTTTAGTACTTAAATAATTTATTTAAAAAAAAATTGATAATTTTAATACCAAAAATTAAGTACACAATTTTAAAGTGAAAAAAGGAGAATATATCTGTCATAATTATAAAAAGAAATTTTCTTTTAATTGTAGGGTTAAATTAAAGAGTAATAATATTCAATAATTGATCAGGATGCATCCTCTTGAAATGAGCGACAACTTTGTGATGATAGCATTTTGCATAATCACAGTAATAACACTTGAACCTTGGAGGCTTTCCGCATTCATATTTAACATGTTTGTTCAAATCATACTTGCTCTTGTATTTCTTCTCACAAGGAGTGTTCGGACAAACAAAGACCGATTGTTTTTCCGCGACTTTAGAAACTTCAATAATATTAACCGCTCTGTAAGGATGATGTTCCCAAGCGTGTTCCTGGATTTGTTCCACTGATGAAGCGGTGTAATTGCACCTGCTGCACTTGAAGGTGGCGCTGTACTCACAAACTTCCATATGAAGCGTCATTTCTTCTTTGCTGTTGAAGATTTCTTCGCAGCGCTGGTTCCCGCATTGGAACACCGTTTCTTCTTCAAATTGCGCGGGAAGAATTGCGAACCTGAAATCTGATAAATAAATAATGTTAATTTATTTTTTATAAATTAATTTAATTAATTCTATAATTAATTAGTAAAAAAATCTTGTGAATTAATTGTTAATTGTGGAGAGATTTTTTGACAATTAATTTTTTTCATAAATTAATCTAGATAATTTTTTTTTATGCAATTAAAATAATTGAATTTTTTATGCATAATTTTAATAATTAAGCTGACTAGCTTTTAAAAATTTAACTGAAAGAAAAATTTATTTATTAAATTTTTATTAAATTAAAATTGTAATACAAAAATTTTAACGACAGTGTTCGTATTCAGAAAGATTAGAGTGATGATTTGATTTAAAGGGAGTTTTGAACAATTCTACGACGCTCATTTCGTCGTCCGGGTGTTTAGCGACCAAATGAGCTTTCACATTTGAAATTCTGTGGGACTTGTAATTGCAGTAGTTGCACTTGAACCTCGGAGGCTGGTTACAAGTGTAAGTCACGTGGACCCGCCTTGAATCTTCATTTTTGAAAGTTTTGTTGCAGTTTGCGTTTGTGCAACTGTACCGAATTTCTTTTATTTCTAAGAAGGTTGATTTTGGAATTCTTGCTTGCTGTCTGGTCACGAAAAATGACTTTCCTGAAAAAACAAGAATTTTGTTAGTTTTATTTTTTTTTTTTAAATTACATTTTTTTTTTTAGAAGGCAACTATTTTTATTATTGTACCCTAGTTAGATAACGGAATAAAAATATTTTGCATACTATTGTAAAGATAATTGAATGGAGATTAATTCCATATTTTTTTCGTGCAATAGAAACGAAAAAAAATAATATTAAAAAAGTTAAAAAAATTTTCCCACCATGTTTGAAATTTGTAAACACTGTAACTTCCCAAAAAATCCATTTATTGAGTCAAATTTTTATTTTTAAATAATTGTAGGTATAAGCTTAATTGGAATTAATAAAATAAATCAACATAAATATTTATTGAGTAAATTTTGGACTTTCCAAAATTTTTAATTTAATTTACACAAAATTTTAAGCGGAAAATTTTGCAATAAAAAGAAATTCATCAAAATTTCGACATCGAAATTTTATTTCATAAATAATTAACCGGATAGTTATTGAAATTACATGTAAAAAATTTTATTATAAACAATATTCAAATCATTCTTCATCAATGACAACATATCGCAATTTTTTATCCGGGTGTTTTATTTGCGCGTGCAATTTCACCCGATCCTTGAAGCAGTTTTTGAAATCACAGTAGAAACATTTGAATCTCGGGGATTTTTTACACTCGTACTTAATATGGCGCGTTAAAGTGTACTTAGATCGGTAACTTTTCAAACATTTGTCATTAGGACAAATGTAATTTCTTCTTTTCGAGAAACAAGGATTTTTGAACTTCTCAAGTTCTGCATTCAGGTCACTTTTAATCGGTTTTTGGTCTAGTTCTTCCAAATCTCCGTAAGTTAATTCCCCTTGATCGCAGAGGAAGTTACTGTGGAATTTACACTCCTCTTCGCACTTGAATTTTTTGAAGCAATTGCTGTTGGAACAGACGAACACCTGGTCCTTTATCTCCAACAGTTCTGGCGCTTGGTGCAAACTCCAACCCTGGATCCAAATCTTCGGACTTGCTGGAAGAACAAAGGATAGTTTGTTAGTGGGTGGTCTTTATTTTTGGGATAGGCATTCACATTCTTCCTACAGAAGGTACTAAAAGGATTTTTTTTAAAGTTACACTGAAAAAAAAGTTTTTTTATACCCGGAATACTGAATATTTTTTAGTCGAGTTTTCTTGTACGAAGTAAAAGTCAAGTTAAATATTTTAGATTTAAGAAAACTGGTATTTTAAATCTGAGAATACCAAGTTTTTTAACAGGACTAAAACTAAATTCTTTGTTACCATAGCAACCGTGACGGTGGCGCCACTATTTTGTCATTTCCCTCCAATCTACAGTGTACGCGTGTTTTTTAGTTATTAGTTTACCTCGTGCCTGAGTCTAGTTACCTAAATATTTATTTCTGTAAATTAAATAATTTATAAATTATAAATAAAAGTATTAATCATCAATATTACTTCCCCTTACTCCCTTACTTATATGGATTCTTGGATGCAAAAGAAGTTGTCAGAGTGGAATTTATCATCTCCAACAAATTTATAACTCATTTTAGCAATACATTCTTTCCTTATAATCAATTTTTATAATAAGGTAGAAGACCCAGTTAACCAGTTATTTTCACTGGCCTATAGTTGTTTAACACTGGCAATTTTATTCTAATTAAAAAAATAAAATGTTCTCAAAAAACCAATTATCTTAAAATTTATAATTCAAATATAATGTTTATTAAATTATCAGAGTTTTTAAATAAAATAAAATTGCAAGTGTCAATAAACTAGGTCTTTTACCTTAGTAATGTTATTAATTATAAAAAGTATAGTTTCTCATAATTATCCATCCTAAAGATTCGTGTCGACCAAGCGAGGTTAAGTCGGCCATATTGATTGTAGTATTATAATAATGAGAATCCGAACAAAAACAGTTTCACTGTAAAAAAAATCGCGCCAAGTCCACGTTCATAAGACTATTAAGAAAAAAAAAATTAGTTTTTTCTTTACAAAAAGATATAAAATAAAAAAATTAAAAAACCCAAGTAACCGATATGATTGTTTATGAATTTCGGATATTAAAAAGAATTTTGCTGTAAATTTAAAAATTAAAAAAACAATTTTGGAACGTATTTAATGTGCGTTGTTGCGAAATATTTTACTTTTAATTAGTTACATTGAAAGGATTTTTGGAAATGAATCGGTAGAAATTTTTTGGAATTTATATTATATATTTATTTTCTTCTTTAGGAATAAGTTCGCCTTAGATTGCAATTTTTGGACAAAGCAAGCTTCCAAAGCTTAATTAAATATATTTTGAGCGTAAAAAAATTATTTCAAGTTAATAATTGTTTTTTTTTTCTTGGAACTATTAAAAAATTTTGTTTTTACTTTATAATAAAGAATTTTTTTCTTAAAAAAAAATTCCTAAATGGTTCGCAGAAACAAAAAATATTTTTTCATATTTTAAATCTCCCGCTAAAATTTAGGAACAAGTTTTGCGCATGCGCAAAATATGTTTCATAAAAAAAATTACAAATAAACATCATCTTCTTTGCTCTCAAAATCAAATTTATTTTATAACTTAGAATTTTTTTGAATTTCTCGCTAAAATTTAGGAACCGACTTTGCGCATGCGCAAAAGATGTTCCTAAAAAAAATAGCAAATAATAATAAATCATCTTTGATCTCAAAATTAAATTATCAATTAAAAAAACATTATTTCCCTTACAAGAAATCAAATTAAATTACCGCCTAATAATTTGGAACCTCCATATTAGAATATTTTGGAGGTAAAAACAATTATTTTAAATTAATAATTGTTTCTTTTTTTTTTGGAAATATCCAAAAAAATTTTTTTTATTTTATAATTAAGAATTTTTCTTAATAAAAATTCTCAAATGTTTTGCAGAAGAAAAATTAAATTTGTTTAAAATTTCCCGCTAAAATTCAGGAACAAATGTTGCGCATGCGCAAAACATGTTCCTAAAAAAAAAACATCAAATAATAATAAATCATCTTTTTTGATTTAAAAATTAAATTATTAACAATAAAATAAAATAAAAACTTAATAATTCTCTCTCCAAAAAATCCAAATAAATTACCGCCCAATAATATCAAACCTAACCTCCATATCTGGATGCTCTAGCTTATAATGCGCTCTAATTCTATTTTTAAAATTGTTCTTATGATCACAATAAATACACTGGAACCTCGGAGGTTTCCCACACTGATACTTAAGATGCTCGACTAGCGACCTCTTGTATTTAAAACTCTTAGTACAACTTTTGGTCGGACAAAAGTAACTCCGTGAATTATTACTCGGATTATACAGCTCAATAACTTTGACCTCCATTTCCTTGTGCTTGGAAAGAGAGTGGCACTTAATGTGCTGGCTGGCGTACGATTTGTAGTCGCAGTAGCAGCACTTGTACCTCTGCGGCTTGTTGCAGTGGTTCTTCAAGTGACGATTGCACTCTACCTCGGTTTTGAAGGTGCTTTTGCAATTTGGGTTCGGACAGGCGTACCTTTGTTCTTTTGGGAACAGTATTCCCGAATCTGAATTTCTTCTTCTAGATTCCACGAAAACTAACCGAGGAAGTAATCCTGAAAAAGAAAAATGTCCCTTTGGTTAATTTTTGAAATTTTAAGAACAATATTTAAAAGATTTTTGGATTAGTGTGCATTATTTACATCGAAGATTTTTTTAATAAATTTATTATCATAAAGCAATCTACACTTTTAATACTTTTTCCAAAAAAACAATTAATTGATTAATATTGAGAAGAAAGCATGAAGTTTCCAAAAATGATCTGCAATACTTCAATTTTATTTTTTTTTTAATTTATTTATTGAATTTAAGTTTTCTTCTTTGAAAAAACCAAAATAAAAAAATTGCGTCTTGCTCAAAAAATTAAACTTGATTGACCGCAACGATGCAATACTCTAAGTGGGGGTGTTCCTCAAACCAATGGTCCTTCAGAATCCTCTCCGCGGAACTTTGGAACTCGCAGTACTCGCACTTGAACCTTCCGTTCTTCCCGCAGTCATACTTCAAGTGCAAATTCAAATAATAAGAATTTTTAAACTTTTCTTTGCAATTACCATTGGAACACAACAAAAACCCTTTTCGGGCCAAAATGTTCGGCAAGGGCCTCTTATCCGGGATCTTCTGCTTCTTGTGGGTCCGACGGGTGTGTATTTTTATTTCCGAGGGGAACCGAGCTTTGAATTCACACTGAGTGCACTTAAAACGCTTCGGAAGGTTACAGTAGTGTTTCAAGTGGTAATCCAGACTCTTTTGGTCAACGAACCAACAATGGCAGTTTTTGTTTGGACATACAATTTTTTTTCGTGATAAATTAAGTTCTATTTTTTCTTGAACTATTTCTTCTTTATTTATTTCTTCTGCTATTATAAGAAATTCTTCGGGAATTTCTTCTTTAGGTACTTTTTGGACTTCTTTTATATATTCTTCTGGTAATTTTTGGTTGTTTTTTAATACTTTTGATTGCTCTTTCTTCGATGAAAATTCTTTGAGAATTCGTGGTTTGGAACGTTGAAAAATTTCTGCAACAAAAATCAAGAAAATAATCAGTATAAATACCAATTTTTTTGTGTTTTAATTTAATTAACATCTTCAGAAAATACAAGGTAAATTTCAAATTTTAATTCAATTCTGAAAAAAAGATTTTTTTTTTACAAATAACTACATAATATTTTAATTCCAATAATTTTATCAAATTACTAAAAATTCAAAATAAAAAATTTCTTTATTTATTACGAAAAGAAGACGATATAAAATTTTTCCTACGTTATATTTTTGACACTCAAATTCTTACAAACAATTTTTTTATGAAATTTTACATCAAATTATCAATCAAAATTGGTAATTTTTCTGATCAAAATTGTCATAGTTTAAAAATTTATTCAAACTTTTATAAAATTTGAACTTAAATCTAATTTTTTTAATACAAAATATTCAAAATAATTTCAACCAAAATTTATCTGAATTTGGTCAATAATATTACTCAAATCTTAATGGTTCAAATATGTTAAATAAAATTATTAACTAAAATTTGAGCTTATTTCACATTTCTTCAATCCAAAAAACTCAAAATCAAAAAACAAAATATTTCTTTCAAAAGAAGAAATACAAATCTAAGAACTTTATCCAAAAATTATTTCCATTAATTTCAAAAATGTCAATTTTTGAACTCTTCCGCTTCTCTTTAATCTAAAAAACTCAAAATAAAAAAATAAAATATTTCTTTTAAAAGAAGAAATACAAATTCAAAAATTGTTTCCAAATTTTCAAATATTTAACAATTCTTCAGCTTCATTATTAGGCAGCTGTTGAATATCATGAATATTTTCCAAATCAATTATCTTCGGATCAGACTCCTTATGCTTAGCTTCAGAATGTTTCTTCACGTCTTTCCGATAACGAGACCTGTACTGGCAGTAGGAACACTTGAACTTGGTAGGCTTGTTGCAGTAAAGTTTGAGATGTCTGTTGCAGATCTTCTCGCTGTAAAAGACCTTGGTGCAGTGTAAGTTCGGGCAAGGGAACTGTTTGATCTTTTTGCGCTTCTGTTGGCTCAAATTTTGCTGATAAACTACCTCGTACATTTCGACGATGAGTTCTTGTAAATTTTGGTGTTGCCTCATACAATGCCGCTTTACGTCTTTAGTCCAATGTGATTTGTAGTCGCAATACCCGCACTTGTACCTTTCAGGCTTGTTACAAATGTATCGGGCGTGGTAGTTGCAGGCGTAGTAATTTTTGAATTGCTTCCCGCACGAGTTTGGGCAGCCGAACATTTCTTCGGCTGTCTCCGGAAGACTTTCTTCAGCTGGTTCTGCGTCTTGTACAGGACCATCGTTGTTTAGTCGCGTTAGAATTACGCGAGGGTTGAATAATCCATCTGAAAAAAAAGAATTTGGTTGTTAGAGAAATTATTATTCAAATTACAATTATACATTATTTTCTTCTTTACTTTTGATTAAAAATTTGAGAAAATCTGTGAAAATACTAAATTTTTTGTGTTTTAATTTAATTAACACCTTCAGAAAACACAAGTTAAATTTCTAATTCAAAAACCTGTTTGAAGAATCAAATTTTGATTTAATTCTGAAAAAAAAAAAAAAATTTTACACACGGAAAAAAACGTGCGGTAAATCCAACATCACTTGGAGTTGTCACAGAAACACATGAAAATCATCCGTAAACACACTATAGCGTATATATACTTTAGTCCATCCTGTGGTAAATGCTACTCCAAGTGTAGTTGGATTTACCGCATTTTCTTTTCCGTGCAAATAACTAGATATTTTAATTCCAAAAATATTATTAAATTACTAAAAATTCAAAATAAAAAATTTCCTTTATTTGTAACCAAAAGAACGCAATATAACTTTTTTATTACATTGTATTTTTGAGACTCAATTTCTTACAAACAATTTCTTTATGGAATTTTAGATTAAATTATAAATAAAAATTAAATTTGGTGATTTTCGTGATCAAAATTGTCACAGTTCAAAAATTTATTGAAACTTTGTAAAATTTGAGCTTGATTATACTTTTTTCAATAACAAAATATTCAAAATAATTCCAACTAAAATTTTTAAATAAATTCTTAATTTGGTCAGTAATGTTGCTCAAATTTTAATGGTTCAAAAATGTTAAATAAAATTTATAACTTAAATTTCAGCTTATTTTTACATTCCTTTAGTCAAAAAAATTCAAAATCAAAAACCAAAATATTTTTTTCAAGAGAAGAAATACAAATCTAGTAACAATAACTATATCCAAAAATAATTTTCTTTAAATTCCAAATTTACGATTCATTAAATTTGCTGCAGTGAAGTTTGGCATGTGTAGTGCAGATCTCCTCGCTTTCAAAGACCTGGGTGCAGTGTGAGTTCGGGCAAGGAAACTGTTTGATCTTTTCGCGCTGCTGACAGTTCAAACATTGTTGAAAATTGAACTTGTACAGTTCGATGACGGTTTCTTGCAAATTTTGGTGTATCCTCGAACAATGCCTCTTTACATCTTTAGTCCGATATGATTTGTAGTCGCAATGCCCGCACTTATACCTTTCAGGCTTGTTACAAATGTGTCGGACGTGGTAGATCCAGGCTTTGCGATTTTTGAAATGCTTTGCGCACGCGGAATTTGGGCAGACAAACCTTTCTTTGGCTATCTTCAGAAGGCTTTCTTCAGCGGGTTCTGCGTTTTGTACAGGGCCATCAATGTTTAGTCGCGTTAGAATTACACGAGGGTTTAATAATTCATCTGAAAAAAAAAAAAAAAAAAAAAAAAAAAAAAAAAAAAACGAATTTGTTTGTTAGAAAAATTATTATTCAAATTAAAATGATCCTTTATTTTCTTCTTTACTTTATCAATTTTTGGAAATTGAACAATTTTGATCAAAAATTTGAGTTTTGATCAAAACTTCGTTAAAATTTATATAAAATAAATGCGAAATATTTTTTTATAACTATTTTTGAACTTCAATTAAAATTATTAAAACCTTAAAATTTTTTTTAATAATTAAAATAAAAAAAATCTTCACTTTTGGGAAAGAAGAAATAAACAAATTTAGATAAAAAATTTTCCATTGAAATCTATTTCAAGGTAAGCATACAAAAATTACAATTTCAAATGAAAAAAAAATTCTTGTTGGTGTACACAGTAAAAAATTTTGTGTTAAAAATTTAACACTTTTTTGTATTAATTTAACAGAATAAGTGTTAAATTTACACATAAAAGTGTTAAATATTTAACATTAATTTTTTGACGTAAAAATTTTTTACTGTGTATTGTCTTATAATATAACGATAAAAAAAAAAAAAATTAAACATCTAAAGTTTCGAAACGAAAAACTTCATGAAAGTGTTTTCTCTCAGAATGTTTCTTGATGATATGCTTATAGCTGTTTTTGAAGTCGCAGTAGAAGCACTTGAACCTCGGAGGTTTTCCGCACTCATTTTTTAGATGTGTAGTTAAATTGCAGCGGTACTTGTACTTCTTAGGGCACCCTGGAGTGGTGCAAACATGAACCCTTGCATCAGCTCTTGGATTGTACAGCTCAATAACTCCGACTTCTTTTCCCTTGTGAGATTGTCCAATGTGCCGCTTCACATTCGAAGAATGGAAGGTTTTGTACTGGCAGTAAACGCACTTGTACCTAGGAGGCTTGTTGCAGCGATTTTTGATGTGAAAATTGCAGTCCGACTGGTTTTTGAAAGTCTTTCCGCATCCAGGATTGGTGCAAGGAAATCTATCGTCTCTTACAGTCAAAACTTGCTTTCTTCTGTTACTACCTTCGCGCTGTTCCTGCGGCTTCTTCTTTGTCGCTTCGATGACTTTTTCCTTAGCCAGTTCTAAGTTCTCGATTACTTTTGTTGAAGGAACTCGCCTTCGCATCGGGAGTCGGGGGACTAGAACTTTGCTGGCAAGGACTCGCACTTTACGCTGCTTGGGCGCTGGAATAAAAAAAAAAAAGGAAATTTGTTTGTTAGATTGATGATTTTTGTGGGAATTATTCGGGGGTTAGTTGTTTTTTAGATTACATGCATTTTCAAGCACAAGAATTTTCGCTTTAACCATTCGCGCTTTGACAGAAATTGGTAAAAGTCTTGGAAAATTGAAATATATTTTTTGAAAGAAGATATGTGTAGATTTTTATTTTAAATTAAAATTGAACTTTAAGTTCTAATTTTGTTTTTTGGAAAATTTATTATTTAATTTTAAATCGGTGAAAGCGATTTATTTTTTGGATTATTTTTCTTTTATTAAGAAAAAAAAAATTGATCTGCTAAATCTGAAAAAAAAAAAACTTTAAATTGTTTGATTGATTTTTTAAAAAATTATAATTAAATTTTATGGAATAATAAAGGGATATTTGTTTTCAGAAAAATAACAATAATAATAATACAATTCATATCAAAAATTTATATTTTGAAAAAGAATAAAATAATTATTAATTAGCGACCTTGCAGTCACTTGAACTATAAATAAATAGAATTTTGCTTTATCAAATAATGAATTTTGGTATATTGCACTGCACTCTCTTAACTATTGACATTTTTAAAGATATAAGCTCACCCCGAAATTTCTCTCATCGAGACCTTTCATTTGAGTACCCACACCAATTTTTCATATATTTTATATATTATATATATCTCACAAATACCATATATATAAAATATATAAAAAATGCCATGTGAGTACTCAAATGAAAGGTCTCGATGAGTGTAACATCGGAATGAGCTTATATCTTTAAAAATGTCAATAGTTGACAAGATACAATGTCATTTCTTAATTATTGACATTTTTTAAGATATAAACTCATTTTGATGTTACACTCATCGAGACTTTTCATTTGAGTACCTACATGCATTTTTGATATATTTTTCATAGATACATATATTATATAAAATATATAAATATATGAAAAATTGATGTGGGTACTCAAATGAAAGGTCTCGATGAGTGTAACATCGGGGTGAGCTTATATCTTTACAAATGTCAATAATTCACAAGATACAAGGTCATTTCTTAATTAAAATTAATTAAATTATATTTCTTCACTATTAAAAAAAAAAAAAAACGATTTTATTATATGAATATCCTGGAGACAAATTTTTTATTAATTTCTTAATAGTATAGATTTATTAAAAATGTGTCTGGAAAAAGAAATACAAATTATAAATATCCTAAATTACGGATAAATTAAATATATTTAAAATACTAAAACATTATTTCTAAAAAATTCCAATTCTTCCAACTCAAATTTTCAAATTGGTTCAAAAATCTTCAATTTACAATATTCTAATCCTAAAAAAATGAATAAAAACTCGTCATCTCAAATTCCACTCCAAAAACCTAATTCCTTATTCTATCCTTGGTGGCACAAAAAAACTGGACATGATTATTCCTGCTCCTCTCAGTCTTGAAAGTCCCCGAACATCTCGGATTCGAGCACGCAAACCTAACATTCTTAATAGCCAAATCCTTCCTCATAAGTTCGCTCTTCTTCTTCACCTTAATCCTAGGCTTATCTGCAAAAGAAACAACAACAATTAGTATCTATTCTCACAAAATCAAAATCCTAAAACTACTCAAGCATCTTAAAATTACCCTCTAATTACATAACACCTCCCCCTTACTAAAAAAAAAAAATAAACTAATAATTACAGATCAAAATTTTATTTTCAAAAAAATTTACACAGTTTGAGAATTAACAGATTGCGCTTCAACAGGAGCCTCAACATTATTTTGAACCACATTTTGAATTTCAACAACCGCGCTTCTGAATTCTAAATTCTTGTGAATCCTTTTGGCGTGTTCATTGACCCTCTTCTTCAGACAATGTTTATAATTACAGTACGCGCATTTAAAACTGGGTGGTTTTCCACACTCGTACTTGACATGTTCCCTCAAGTTCCTCAAATAATCATAACTCTTCATGCAATTCGAACAAGGGAACGGTTTAATCCGCGGCTTGACTTCAAAAAGGACAATCATCCTTCCTTTTGGATCCTTGTGAATTTTAAGAACGTGTGATCTCATATCAGAAGCCCTGATGGACTTGTAACTGCAGTAGGCGCACTGGTACCTAGGAGGTTTGTTGCAGACATTTGTCACGTGGGAGTTCCTGGAACGCAAGTGCTTGAAAGTGCGCCCGCAGGCTGGGTTAGGGCAGAGAAACTTCTTTGATTTTATAAATGTGTGTTTCCTCGGCGGAAGTCTGCTCTCGGAGATTCTCGTAAGGACCACCAGAGGGATCCTCATATCTGAAACGAAAACTCGGAGGTTAGAAAAATTTTCTTCTAATTATTTTAGGATTTTTAATTTAAATAATTTGATTAAATTACAAGAACCGACACCGTCACCGACAAGCAGAAGATAAAATCTTAATTATCAAGCATTTTTTATTAATTTTTATTTATTAACAACCTTGCAGTCACTATATGACTGCCGTGATATGTGAAATATAAATAAACAAAATTTTGATTTATTAACTAATGAATTTATTGTTAAATTGTACTGTATTTTTTTAACTATTGACGTTTTTAAAGATATAAGCTCATCTTGATATTACACTCATCAAGAGCTTTCATTTGAGTACCCACATGTATTTTTGATATATTTTTCATATATACATATATATAAAATATATAAATCTATGAAAAATTGATGTGGGTACTCAAATGAAAGGTTTCGATGAGTAAAATGTCGGGGTGAGCTTATATCTTTAAAAATGTCATTAGTTCACAAGATATCTGTTAAATTACATTGTACTTTCTATACTATTGACGATTTTAAAGATATAAGCTCATCTTGATGTTACACTCATCAAGAGCTTTCATTTGAGTACCGACATGCATTTTTGATATATTTTTCATATATAGATATATATAAAATATATAAATATATGAAAAATTGATGCAGGTACTCAAATGAAAGGTCTTGGTGAGTGTAACACCGAAATGAGCTTATATCTTTAAAAATGTCAATAGTTCACAAGATATTTGTTAAATTACACTGTACTTTTTCAAATATTGACGTTTTTAAAGATATAAGCTCATCTTGATGTTATACTCATTAACAGCTTTCATTTGAGTACCCACATGCATTTTCATATATTTTTCATATATACATATATATAATATATATAAATATATGAAAAATTGATGTGAGTACTCAAATGAAAGGTCTCGATGTGTATAACATCAAAATGAGCTTATATCTTTAAAAATATCAATAGTTCACGAGATACAAGGTCATTTCTTAATTATGTATATAGAGATAATTTTAGAATACAGCCTAAATACTTAACATGATAAATTAACTATTAATGAGAATGATATGAAATTTTGAAAAGGCAAAAATTTATATCAAGACCTTTGACACTTAATTTCATGAAAAAAAAAAAAAACGTTTCTTATTTTAATAATATAGATTAAAGTACACTGAAAGAAATCTGGTCAAAAGTAACTTCTTTCCCTGGATGCTTCCTCCTGAAGTGTCCAGTGACTCTCTTCTTCGCGAAGAACTGCATCTCACAGAACCCGCACTGGTAACTCGGCTTCTTCCCGCATTCTTTTGTCAGGTGTTCCTTCAAATAAACTTCGCGCTTGTAGATCTTCTTGCAGCCCTTGTTTGGGCAAGGGAAGAAATCCTCCTTTTCGCACTCTTCAATTAAGTCTATGATCTTCGTTCTTTTTTCAGAGTGCAGTTGGGCCAGGTGTCGTAGGATTTTAGATTTTGTGTAGAATGTAGCCTCGCAGTATCCGCATTTGTAGCGCTTCGGGTTTGAGATGGCTAGAGGGTCCGGGTCATCCGGTTCCTGGTACGGTTCCTGGTCCAGTTCCGGGGAACTTGGGGGAGAGTCGAAGTCTGAAAATTTAAAAATTTGGTTAGATTGGTAGAGAAAAATTTTAAGGACAGGGTTTAAAGTAGTGAACAGGTTTCTTTTTTAATAAAAAAAAATTTATTCGTTACACAAAAAAATTTTGGAATGTATTTATAATTTATAAGATTAAAATTAAATTTATAAATAGGATTTTTTAGAGTTTTAAATATTAGTAGTCAAGTCCCTCGAGAGTGAAAATAAAAATTAGATTTTTAGGGTGTACAGCAACGAGTCATTTAAAAATTTTGAAAGTTTATAATAGTAAAAGGATTAAACCTTTTAATTTAATTCTCACATTTTACATCTCACACTGTAATTTTTTGGTATTAATTATTTTAATTTGGAAAACTGTTCTCGAGTTTCTCGAATTACAGGTTCACCTGTTATAATTAACAGTCTATTTATTATTATCGATAATTAGTAGCTGACACTTTAAATCTTATTCTTACAATTAAAAATACATTTATTGTGATGAAACTAAAAAATTCATCACCGATAAATCGAAATTTTTAAAGTTTAAGTTATTAACTATTAATTTATCAATAAATAACTTTAAAAATAATAAGTAACTTCTAGTTAAAACTTTCATCCAACTAAAAATACATTCAAAGTTGTAAAATAAGGTATTAACAATTGTCATTGGATTATTACAAAATACACTGAGAGAAAAATTATATTTAAAAAAAAAATCACCAATGTTGTAATAATAAATTCATTTGTTTTTTATTTTAAACAATTTTATTTCTCAGCTGAAGAAATAAAAATTTTTCTCCCAGTAACTTTCTTATCAAAAAAAGTTATCTAAATTTTGAAGAAACCTATTTTAGGTATTCCAAATTTTTATCCAAAATTCTTTTATATCAAATTTACAAAACTTATTTAAGAAAGTCTGTGACAAATTTTTTTCTTCTGAGAAATAAAAGGATTATAAATTTTAAACAAATTAACTTCTTGTCCCCATTTTTTCAAAATAAATTTTTATCGCTAAACTTTCAGTAGTGTCAATATTAATACAGTTTTTTTACAATCTTCTTACTCAAAAAACTAATTTTTCCTCTCCCTCTTCCTTCATTTTTAAAATAAAAAATCAATTGTAAGGATCTTCTTCATCAGGATGCTTAATTTTAAAATGCGTCTTAATACTCTGAGAGTACATAGTTTTATAATCACAGTAGCAACACTTGAACCTAGCAGGCCTACCGCACTCGAATTTCATATGATTGCTCAAGCTTTTAGCGTACTTATATTTCTTCCCGCAATTATGAGCAGGACAAGCGTAGCGCCGGCTGTCAATTTTAGGGTACAATTCAACAATATTAATCGGGTGTTCCTTGTGCCTGGAGCTGCAGTGGTTCCTAATGTCCTTCGGAAAGTGTGACATATAATTGCAGTACCCGCATTTGAACCTTCTCGGCTTATCACAGTGATAGCGACTGTGCTTATTACGGTCTGCCTTTCTCTTAAATGTCTTGTCGCACTTAGGGTTTGTACATGCCCATCTTTGATCCCGGACTCTTATCAGCGATTTTTTATTCTGGCCGGTTAGAATTGTCGTGGAAGTTATCCGGGGACTCTTTCTTCTGCTGGCCACTGAAAATAACAAAGTTTCAATTTATTTTAATTCAAAAAAATCAAATTTTATTGCTACAGTACAACACAACTAAAAGTTTAATTTATTATTTTTTACAATCAAAATCTTGAAAATAATTTCTTCAGTTATATTTTCAGTAAATATCTTTATTATTATGTTTTATACATTCAACTTGATTTAACAATTACATATATGGTTATATATGGTTCGTGAAACTATACATAATCATATATGCTTTACAGGAATATATAATTTATATATTTGTCATATTGTGCTCTAACAGGAGGTTGCTAACTTGAGAACATTAATAATAAAGTTTCATTTCTAAAAATAATATAATTTTCAAGTTTATAAGAGGAAATTTAAGCTATTAAAAGTAATATTAATTCCATATGTGACTATATATGATCCAAAGTGTTATATATGGTTCATATATACTTGATACAGTCATATATGATTCATATATGACTTATAGAACCATATAAATGCATATGTGATCATATATGATCCAAAATGTCATATATAGCTCATATGTGATTCATAAGGATATCCTATATATTAAAATTGAGGGTTGATTGAAGTTAGCTTAGTATTGAAATAACTCAAAAACATGGACCCTGATTCCTTATTAGTTCAGAATTAGAACACACAGTTTGAATTCCTAGTTTGATACAGAAATATATGATTTATATGTGACCATAAAAGCTTTAAAAAGTTAAATTAATCTATATGTGATTATATATGATCTAAAGTGTCATATATGGCTCATATGTGATTCATATTTACTTAATACAGTCATATGTGATTTATATGTAACCATTTAAGCTATAAAAATTCAAATTAAACAATATGTGACTATATATGATTTAAAGTGTCATATATGATTCATATGGACTTAATACAGTCATAAATGATTTATATGCAACCATTTAAGCTTTAAAAATTCACATTAAACCATATGTGACTATATATGATCCAGATTCATATACACTTTACTCAGTTATATATGATTTTATAAGTGACTATTGAAGTTTTGAAGTCATATTAATTCATATATGATTATAGATGATCCAAAGTGTCATATATGGCTCATATATGATTCATATGTAACCATTTAAGCTCTAAAAAGTCAAATTAATCTATATGTGACTATATATGATCCAAAGTGTCATATATGGCTCACATGTGACTCATATATGCTTCACATTGTTATATATGTTCACTTAAGGCCACATATGTTCATTAAAGACCACACATATTTTACAGAATTATATCTGATTCATAAAAGAACAGATTATTTGTACAGTTATAAATATGATTCATATAAGTTTCATATGTGATAACTTGTGTCAATTTTTAAGACCATATATTTTTTAGAGGGTTATATCTGATTCATATAAGATAACATATTGTTCAGATAGTTATATAAGATACATATCTGATCATATATGTGTTATCGGTTCATATATGCTTCAGACTCACAAATGTACATCAGAAAGTCTCACATATGTCTTATAGAATCATATATATGTATGTAAAAAATTATACATAATTTTTGCTACTTAATTAATTACTGTACACTGAAAAAAAAAAAAAAAAAATTTTACATCAAGAAAATTTTAAGGAAGATAAAAATTATTTTGGAGCTCGAAGAAATTTTCGTCATGAAATTATCTTCCTTAATATTTTCTTGAGCCAAGAAAATTTACACTCTTTTTTTTTTCAGTGTAAAATTGCCATAAATCCTAATTTCAAAAATTAAAACACTAAAAACCCCTCAAAATTCCATGATAAATTTTCAATCCAAAATTCTCTAACTCATATTATCCTCTAACTCAACAAACATAAACTCTAGATCAGGATGTTTGCTCAAACAATGAATCTTGACGCGATCTTTAAAGTACCCTTTATGATCGCAATAAAAGCACTTGAACCGCGGTTCCTTTCCGCACACATGTCTCATATGAGAAGCCAGTTTCGCCTTGGTTTTGTATCTTGCAGGACAACCGAATGTAGGGCACTTGTAAATCCTTGTTTCGTTGTGAGGATCCCATAGCGTTATCATTTCGATGTCAGTATCCTTGTGCACGCCTAGGATGTGTTTCTTTATGTCCCCAGAAAGGTTCGATCTGTAGTCGCAGCCTCCACACTTGTATCTCTGAAGATTGGCACAGCCATGCCTAATGTGGAGATTGCAGTCTACTTTGCTACTAAATGTCCTATTGCAGTTTGGATTTGTGCATTGGAATACTTGCGCTTTCGGCCGAATAAATTTTGAACGTGAACCTGACTTTGAACTCCTTAGAACTAATAGTGGATCTGTAAAAAAGTTCAAATTTTGGTTATTACAAGGAACATTTTTGTAATTTCAATTAAAAATTAATTTACTATTTACAGATGAGGAGTTTTTAAAATTTTTTTTTAAAATATCAAACCTGTAATTTACTGAAAAAAATCCCTTGTTAAATTAGAGATGAAATGAATGTTAAACCAATTTATTCGTTATGTGATTGGTCGAATGTATTATAAACATGCAAATTCTATATTCAGGTGCGCGAAAATTGAATTTTAGTTCTAATAAAATTAATAAAAAAAGAAATTTTGAAACTTTTTCAAAAATATTTCTCTTTATTAATAATTTTCTACAGATAATTTTTAGTTTGAAGGATTTTCAATTCAATCTATCCCAACTATTTTGTCCCAATGTTTAGACATGCAGTCTTTTGCAGTGGACCTGTAAAAAATCCAAACTTTGGTAATTAGAAGGAACATTTTTCACTTCAATCCTAAATTATTTTACAATTGACAGATAGTTTTAGAATTATCTTCTAAAAATATCAAACTTGTCTTTAAATTACTGAAAAAAATTTTTATAAAATTTACAAAGAAGAAATTTTGTAGCTTATTATTAGAAGGAACATTTTTTACTTCAATTCAAAATTATTTTACAATTTATAGATAGTTTTAGAAATATCTTCCAAAAATATCAAACCTGTCTTTGATTTACTGAAAAAAAATGTTAATAAAATCTACAAAAAAGAAAATTTTAGTTCTTCAAAAATATTTCCCTTTATTAATAAATTTCTGCAGATAATTTTCAATTTGAATGATTTTCAATTGAATCTATCTCAAATACTTTTTGCCGAATATTTGGACATGCATTGTTCTGCAGTGGACCTGTAAAAAATCCAAACTTTGGTTATTAGAAGAAACATTTTTCATTTCAATTCAAAATTATTTTACAATAAACAGATAGTTTTAAAAATATTAAACCTCTCTTGAATTAACTGAATATAATTTTAATGAAATTTAGAAACTTTTTCAAAAATATTTTCCTTTATTAATAAATTATTACAGTTAATTTTCATTTTAAAGGATCTTCAGTTGAATCTAGCTCAACAACTTTGTCCGGATGTTTGGCCAAGTAGTGTTCCCTCAGCCTCCACCGGTAAAAATGCGTAAAATCGCAGTAACGACACTGGTACCGATTTTCGGCGCCACACTCGTAGTTAACATGTTGCTTCAGGGCACTAATACTCCGGTACTTCTTATCGCAATTAATATTTGGGCATGAGTACTTCCGAATTTCCGGCTCGGGCTTCAGCTGGGAGTCGTAAAGCTGAGGGTCGCACATCTGGACTACTTTTGGCTCGATATTTAGGTGCTTGGATTTTGAATGCGATCTAACATTTCGCGAGTAGTTGGATTTGTAGTCGCAGTAGAAGCACTTGAATCTCCGGTCTTTATTGCATATAAATTTGATGTGGTAATTATATGCTTTTTTTGTTCCAAAAATTTTGCTGCAATTTTCATTAGGACACTTGAATAGCTCTTCTCTGTCAGATAACATTTTATTCACGTCTGGAGATTGGAGGCTGGAGATTTTGGCGAGGAATATTCGTGGCTTCTTAAAGTCTGGTTCTGGAAAAAAAAAAAATAAATATGTTAAAATTAGTTTTTTATTTTTTTGAATGAAATTTTTTAAGATAAAGTTGTCATTTAAAAATCACGAAATTTAGTTTTAAATATTCTTTATTCTGTTTGATACTTGAAATATTAATTTTTTTTTAATTAATGAAAAATTACATGAAAAAAAATGTTTTTTTTTTCTTAATTTGTTTAAAGTCGCATAAACTACTAAGGTCATGAGCGACTACGGTAGGGGGTAAACTTTTGAGATAGGAACTCGTTTTATTTCTTGGGCTGAGCAGCATAATACACTTAAATATTGAAAATATTCATTGGTGTACGCCGGACTCGAACCCGGTCCAATGCTTTGGTAAGCAAGGGCCGGATCCGATAGGCTACTGCGCGCCTATGAAAAATTTATAAAAGAAAAAATGCCTGAAATATATAATGTTTATTATTTTTATTTATTTATTTTTATTTATTTATTCAACCAGTAGAAAAAAATTATTGTGATGATTATTGTCATTATTATTATTATTGAGAATTACAAATTTTTTTAACTGCTATCATTATTATTATTATTATTATTATTTTTTTATTATTGGCTAAAAATTTTTGTAATTCTTAATAATAATAATAATAATAATAAGAAAAAAAATAAGAAGAAATGTAAAACAAAAATTCTAAGTTAGTGTTATCATTATTGTTATTTTTAAAGATCTAAAATTAAAAGATCCCTATCCTTATGTTTAAATAAACAATGTTTCTTGACCGAATGTTTAAAATGTGACCGAAATAGACAATAACCGCATTGATATGGCTCAGGTTTGGCACACATATTCTTTATGTGCCTCACGCAAGTTTGTTTGTTCGAAAACACTCGATAGCAGTTGACGTTCGGGCACTGGAATGCGTTTGCGTTCATCTTCAGGGGCTCCAAGTTAACGGGCAACAGCTTTGAGGTTGGAACCAGTCGCACTAAACAAACAAGAAAACTTTTTAATTTCTGACTTTGATTTTTTACTTACAGATAAGTTAGTCACAAATGAAAATTAAAAATAATTTTAAATTGAAATTAAAAATAAAACGTTGTTGAGGTTTTTTGTAGTTTCAAATTTTAATTTTGATTATGTCTTTTTTGGGACTTGAAGATCTGAAAATATTAAAAATTTTATTAGTAAAATTATATAAAGAAATTGAGGAATGGGCCCATAACCTGTTAGAATTTTTTTATGGCGGCAAATCATCTGAAAAAGAAGAAAAATTAATTTGTTAATAAAAATTCTTTTTTGATTCATTTTTTTTTTTTTTGTTAAAATTCAAATTTTATTGATGAAAATTGTTCTGTAAAATTTTATAAATTTTATTAAATTTAAAATTTGACATAAAATAATACATTAATTTTATTAATGTAAAAAATAAAAATTCATATAAAAAAAATCTTATCTAATTTATAAAATTTGATAACTTAATTAAAAAATTAATTCTTCAATTAATTATTAAAAGTATAATTTTAAAAATGCACAGTGGAGTTAATGAATGCATTAAAATACTTAAAACAATTATCGCGATTTCGTAGGAATAAAAACCTTGTGAATGGCTCTCATATGTGACTTAACATTAGCAGTGAGATGTGCCTTAAAATCGCAAAAGTCGCACTTGTGTCGCGGTGGCTTATTACAGAAGTTCTTCATATGATAATTGCGACTGTACTCGTGCTTGAAGGTCCTGTCGCAGTTGGGAGTCGCGCATGCGAACCTTACTTCCGCAATTTTGCAAAAATTCGGAGCTTTCTTCTTCGCCGCTCGCTTTTTCATCCGAATGATCTTCATTCCTGAAAAAAGAAAAAAACGCTTATTTTTATTAGTATAACTAATAATAATAATGAAATTGTTTTTATATTAATTACTAATAAATCATTACTTATCACAAAAAAAAAATTGCAAAATTTTTGAGTATATGCTCACTCGCCATGCATTTTTAAAATCATAAAAAAATTTTAATTTTAATAAATTATTCAAAATTTTCTTCTTAATACTTTTCAATTAGATCCAATTTTTTGAATTTGTTTTTTTGTATCCTAAAAAAAAAAAAAATTTATCATATTAGTACAAATTTTTTTAAGTCAATAATAATTATTATTATCATTATTATTTTTTTTTAGATGGAAATCTAACCTGTAAACACAAAAAAATTAATTCTACAAGTTTAAAAAAAATTTGCCGACAAAATGGCGGCTCATAATTCATCAATATCGGTAATAAAGGTATTTATGAACAATTTAGTTTATTAATAAAATTTTATAAGTATGGTTTTATTAAAGAATAATTAATTAAAAATTTTCAAATGAATAAAAATTAAAAGAAGAAATATAATACTGAAAAAAAAAATTCTTTTTTAAATTAATAAAATTACAAGTAGAAATATACACTGAAAAAGAAAATCAACTTGAATTAATTTTAGAAACAAATTCTTGAACTAAGAAAACAGTTTTGGATAGTTTAATTGTCTTGAATCAAGATGAAATATTCTTGAATTGAATAAAATTAACTTAAACTAAAAAAAATTTCTTAGTTACAGAATTTTTCTACTCACAATAAAAAATTTTACGTCATCGTGTTAAAAAATTTTTATGTTAAATATTTAACACTTGTTTGTATTGATTCAACATAACAAATGTTAAATTTACATATAAAAGTGTTAAATATTTACCAAAAAGATTTTTTTTTGACGCAAAATTTTTTTCTGTGTTCAATTCAAGAAGATAAAATTCTTGAAAATTATTTACTTGATTAAATTAAATTTTATTTTGTTTAAAAAGAAAATTTTCTAAAATAAATCCAAATTATCAGCACAAAATTCAAATTCAGGATGTTTCTTCATCCAGTGTTCCTTAATCCTCTTTAAATAACAGTTCTTAAAATCACAGTACGAACACTTGAACCTTGGAGGTTTATTACACTCAAACTTCAAATGTGAAGTCAACCCGCTCTCATGTTTGTACCTCTTATAACAATTTTTAGTCGGACAAGAATAAATCCTAGTTTCAGTATGAGGATCATACAACTGAACAATCTGAATCTTCAGACTCTTATGTTTTCTTCCGAGATGTCTCTTTATATCCGCGGACTGGTGAGCGGTCTGCGGGCAGTAGCCGCACTTGTACCGCGGCGGCTGGTTGCAGAAGTACTTCATGTGCTTGTTACAGTCGTGCTTGGTATTAAAACTCTTGTCGCAGTTTGGATTTGTGCATGGAAAAGGCTTGCGTTCTATAATTTTCTTCTTTGCTCTGCTCGCGCGCTTTGGCTTTCCTGAAAATAGTTTTCGTCAATTAGTCTTATAAAGTGAACCTTGAGTTTCCAAATTTCTATCATGCCAAACAAATTTAATTACTTAGTAATTACTACAGTCACAAAATTTTATCAAAAGTTCATTTAAATTTTTTAATATTTACAAAAATTCTCAATACAATATTGCTTTTACAGTTCAGTACATTTATTTTCAAACAATACAATCTTTTTTATATTATTAGAATTAGAATTTTTTATGGGACAATTTTTATTACAATTATAAATTAAATCATTATTAATTTATTGCTGCAAGCTTTTTTTTTTTAATATTTTGTGAAAAGTATTTGTAATATATTTTATAAAATGTTACATGAAAAGAAGAAAAGTGGAAAAATTAGATTTTTGGGCTTCTTACTCAAAAATCTAATTTTTCCTTTTCTTCTTCCTTCATTTTTTAAATACAAAATCATTTGTAAGGATCTTCTTCATCAAAACACTTAATCTTACTTCAAAATTTCCTAAAATATATTATTATTTAAAAAAAAAACCCTCAATCTACTCAGTAATAGTTACAAAACTAAATTCCAACCCAGGATGTTGCCTGCTCCAGTGTTTCTTCACCAAATGTTTATAATTATTTTTAAAATCACAGTAGGAGCACTTGAGCCCGGGTTTCCCGCACTCGTACATTAAATGAGCTCTCAGGCCCTTTCTGTACTTGTACCTCTTGTCGCAATTAGGCTTGGGGCACTTGTGGCTCCGGTCATCCTTCAACCCGTACAATTCAACCGCCCGAGGTTCCAGTTCCGGATGTTTGGCCCTTGAGTGTCTCCTAACGTGCCCCGCAAAGAAGGATTTGTAGTCGCAGTAGCCGCAGGTGAACCTCGGCGGCTTGTTGCAGACATTTTTGGTGTGATAATTCCTCTCAGATTTATTTTTAAAAGTACTCGGGCAGTTTGGGGTTAAACACTTGTACCGGGAACTTTGTCTTCTTGTCACTGGAACCAGAGGGTCTTCTTCTACCTCCTGAGGTTCATCAGGGTCCGCAGCTTCTTCTTGGCCGTAGTCTTCGCCTTTGATCCAAGCTTGCCATTGGAAAAAATCTGAAACAATTTTTTATTTGTTAGAACACTTAAAAATAATTTTTTATTCATTTTTTATTTTAATCTACTAGATTAAATTTTTTTTGCTTAATTTTTTAACCTCCATAGATTTATTGTTCCGATAAATTACAAATACATTTATATTCTTTTATAATTAGTTATTTTAATTAAAATAACAAAAATTCATTAGATTAAAATTAATTAATAATTACAATTATACATTTTTTTTATTTTATAATTATAATAATGAATAATAAAAATGTGGAATTTTTTTAAAACTATAGAATTAATTTTTTTCTAATAATTATTCTTAGAAAAAATTAAAATTGTTTCGCAATTTTTTAGAGATTTTTTTTGCGCATGCGCAAAAATTGTTCCTAATTTTTGGCGCGAAATTTAAAAAGATAAAATATTAAAAATATTTTAGAATTTATGTTGAAAAATTCTTAATTAAAAAATAAAAATGAAAGTTTATTTTTATTAAGAATTTTTTAAATTTCACGCTAAATAATTACGCGCATGCGCTAAAAAATTTTTTTCACTAAAAAAAATCGAATTATTAAAATAACTAAATAAATTTCTTTAAATAATTAAAATAATAGTAAAAAATAAAATTTTAATCTAAAAATATAAAAAAATTCACGAAGTTCCTCTAAGAATTTTTCTACGCCGTTCCAGGAACCAAAACTCTATTTCATCATAGTAACACTCCTCGGAACTTGAAGCGAGTGTTTGTCCCTGCAATGCTTCATAATCCTCGGCTCAAAAGCGTTCTTGAAATCGCAGTAGAAGCACTTGAATCTCGGTTCCTTATCACACTCATGATTAATATGGTTAACCAAATTAGCCCTCTGTTTGTACTTCTTGTCGCAATTCGGGTTCGGGCACCTATACTTGCGCGTTTCAAGATGCGGATTGTAGAGCTCAACAGGTTGAGGTTCCAGGTTCTTGTGCTTGGAACGCGAGTGTCTGCGAATGTGACCTGCGCAGAAGGACCTGTAGTCGCAGTGCCCGCACTTCCACCTCAGCGGCTTATTACAGATGTTCTTAGAATGGAAGTTCCGTTCCGTTTTGTTCTTGAAGGTCCGCGTGCAGTTCGGGTGGGTGCATTTGAACCTGGTTCCAGTTCTCGACATACCCGACATGTGAAGTTCCGCTTTTACATTGTAGTAATGATGATAATCTGCAAAAAAACAAAATTAAGGTTAGAACTTGTTCCGTACAAACTTTTAACCTTAAAAATTAAGTTCTCAACTACAAACTGCGACTTTCTTAAAAACTAATGGAACATTTTATTCTAACCTCAATGTATATTTATTGTTCTCAGTAAAAATTACAATTGCACCTTATAATAATTAATTCTTATACTAATGACAAGACATTTAAAAACTTTTTATAAAATTCAGTATCAAAAAAAAATATCTATTTCCACAAAGTCAATTTATAACCTTCAAAAATTAGCTGATTAATGTAACGCATCTCGGTTCCTCAAGCGGATGCTTGTTCTTGCAGTGAGTTTTGATCCTATGTTCATAAGCGTTTCTAAACTCGCAGTAAAAGCACTTGAACCTCGGCGCTTTGTCGCACTCAAAATTAATATGGTTCCTTAAATTCAACTTGCACTTGTACTTCTTGTCGCAATTGGGGTTAGGACACTTATGCTTGCGAGCTTCTAAATGTGGATTGTACAGCTCGACGATCTTCATCTCCAGGTTCTTGTGTTTGGCCACCAAATGGCGCTTTATGTCCGCGGAATGGTGGGACTTTCGCGTGCAGTACGGACACTTGTACCTAGAGGGCTTGTTGCACAAGTTCTTCATGTGGTCGTTCCGGTTCCGCTCGTTCTTGAAGGTCTTACTGCAGTTTGCGTTCAGACACGCGTACCGCTTTTCCGTTATTTGGATCGGGGTTCCTTCCGCACTTAAGCCTTCGTATGTGTACAGCAGCTCGCCGAGCTTTTTTCTTTTTTCTGCAAACAAACATTCACTTTATTAGTGAATTTTCCGGAATTTTTTGGGTTATTTTAACTTAACCATTTGGGAAGAATATTTTCTTATTTCTTCAGTCATTAATTATAAAAATAAATTATACATTAATAATAGAAAAACTTCAGATTTTATAAAATTAAAATGAAAATGGAGTTAGCTGACATTTCAAAATTTTTAGAAATTGTTTTATCGAAAAAATTTTAATGAAACAATTAAAAAAAATATATATCACATGTTAAAAAATTTAAAAACTATAAGTGCAATTTTTTATAAATATCTTTTTAGTTGTAATTTAATTAAAAAAAAAAAACAAATCAAAAATTTTTAGACGTCTGCTCACTTCAGTGTCATAAATTAAATTACACGGAAAAAAACGTGCGGTAAATCCAACATCACTTGGAGTTGTCACAGAAACACATGAAAATCATCCGTAAACACACTATAGCGTATATATTGTGTGCCCCCCCCTTGCCAGTCCTCCAGATACTTGATAGCCTTATCATTGTCTCTTATCTCGGTTTGACAATACTCGTCAATTATTTTAACTTCTAAATTTTTATGCCGATTTTTTATGTGGACTTTTAGATTAGCCAGCTTGTAAGAGTTGTGAAGACAATATCCGCATTTGTATCTCGGTGACTTATTGCACTCATATCTGATGTGATGAGTGAAATGATGCCTGTGCTTAAAAGTTTTTTCACACATCGGATTTGTGCATCGAATCCGCTCTTTTAAGTTAACTGCCGCCCCTTTGAAAATTTTTCTCTGCACTCCTGGAAAATTAACCACAAATATTAGATTATTTCTTCACTAAACTTTTTCAGAAGAAGAAATGAATAAATTTAGCGACATGTTAGAATTAATGAATTTTATTCATAATTAATAATGTATAATTATAGTTTGTTTGTTTGTTTTTTTTTTATAAATCAACAACAAAAACTGGCATCTCCTTGTGCCGTCGGAAGCTGTGGCTCTGGATACTCTTCTTAAATTGAGATAGGTAATGGCAGTAGCCGCACTTGTACCTCGGAGGCTTGTTACAGATGTCGCTCATGTGCTTCCGACGGGACTCTTTGTTCTTGAAGGTCTTGTTGCAGTTTGAGTTCAAGCAAACAAACCGCCCGGTTGTTACGAAGCACAGTTCTTCGTTTGTTTGGAAGTTTCCGAAGATTGCGGGGTAATGTAAAGCTGGAAAATCAAAAGTTTGTTTTTTTAGTTAACTTTAAAGAGATTTTCTTTTTAATCACACATAATATATTACAAGACAAATATTGGCAAGGTTTACATTAATGCTTATACATTTTTATTAGTTATTGCTGGTACAGTTTGTTATTGGAATTTTTTTGGTAGAAATGCAAAATTTTTTTAATTTATATCTAGTTTCATTGATTTTTTTTATATTTCTTCTTTTTAATAAATTGGAACAATTTTTTCATTTATTGTTGAAAAATAGAAAAAATTGATTCAATATTTTTTCTTAGTTAAAAATTAATAAATAAAATTTTGCTTTATTAAATAATGACTTTTTCGTTAAATTGCACTGTACTTTCTTGAATATTGACACTTTTTAAAATATAAGCTCATTCTGATGTTACACTCATCAAGAGCTTTCATATGAGTACCCACATGCATTTTTCATATATTTTTCATATATACATATATATAATATATATAAATATATGAAAAACTGATGTGGGTACTCAAATGAAAGGTCTCGATGAGTGTAACACCGGGATGAGCTTATTTCTTTAAAAATTTCAATAGTTCACGAGATACAAGGTTATTTCTTGATTATGTATCTTGAGAACTATTGACATTTTTAAAGGTACAAGCTCATCCCGATGTTACACTCATCAAGAGCTTTCATTAGAGTACCCACATGCATTTTGATATATTTTTCATATATACATATATATAATATATATAAATATATGAAAAATTGATGTGGGTACTCAAATGAAAGGTCTCGATGAGTGTAACACCGGGATGAGTTTATTTCTTTAAAAATGTCAATAGTTCACAAGATACAAGATGATTTCTTAATTATCTAAATATAGATTTAAAAAAAAAAATTTTTTATAGAAAATTTTCACAAAAAATTCAACTTTTCATAAAAGTCTTAAAAAAAAAATCAACATTTAACAATTAAAAAAAACAATAATTAATCATTAAGTTCAACTGGAAAAACATTTTTATCAGGATGTTGCAACTTGTAATGCATCTTGGTCCTATTTTTGAAGCAACTTTTATAATCGCAGTAAAAACAGCTAAATTTCGGAATTTTCCCGCACTCATATTCAACATGAATCGTCAAATCACGCTGATTTTTATAGCGCTTCTTGCAGTTCGGATTAGGACAAGCGTAATTGCGCGTTTCTAAGTGAGGATCATACAACTGGATAACTTGAACCTTCATGTTCTTATGTTTTCTGAGCGTATGAGTCTTAATAACCGCAGAAAGATACGACTTTTGGCTGCAGTACGCGCACTTGTATCTCGGTGGCTTATTACACACTTGAATCATGTGAACTTGTCTTGATTTCGCGTTTTTGAATGTCTTGTTGCAATTAGCGTTCTCGCAAATGTACCGCTTTTCTTTTATCTTCAAGTACTTGCTCTTTGGTAAGTTTACTACTTTGCTGCGCGTGTACATTCCTCGGGGTTTTCGCTCTGCAAAAGAAGAAATAGAAAGTTTTCATTAGTTAAATTCAACTATTTCCATTGACTTTTTTTTTCAACACAAATTATTAATTAAGCGACATTTATTAATTAAATTTCAAATTGTTTTACAGTAACTTTATTTATTATTAATACATAAAATAATTAAGCATTATATATAGACATTTTATATGATAAATAACTTTTTTTTTTATATTCTGATTAATATTTTAGACACATTTAATTTATTTTTTAATACTTAATAAGTTTTAATATTTTTCTTCTTTAATTTTAAAATAAACCATGAATTTTTTTTCAACATTTAAAATTCAGGTACATTTTTTTAAATACTTTATATTTATTTTCATTAATAGACTCTTTTTATTTAGTAGAATAATTTTTTTTTAAATTAATAATTTTAATTAAAAAGAAAATGAGTTATTTTAAACCAAAAAAATTATTTATAAGAATTTTATTTAATTTATTAATTAAAAAAAAAATTTAATAAATTTTTGGGCTATATTTAAGTGAAAAATTAATATTTTTCAATTTTTTTTATTCTGCTTATTTTTACGTTAAATTTATGATAAAAAAATGTTGTAAAAGAAAAAAAATGAAAATTTTGATAAAGTTTTTGCTTTCAAAAGTTAGAAAAAATTTTAACTAATTTTTTTAGATAAAATTTCTATTTTATTTTTTATTTATATATATTTTTTAAAATTATATAAAAAATGAACAATTAACAAAAAAATTGAATATTACAATTTTTTTAAAAATTTATAATTTTTTTTTTAAATTGTAATAAACATTTTTTTTTTTTTTAGATAATTCATTTTTTAATTTATTTTCCTGAAAAAAAAATATATCAATAAAATAAAATAGAAATTTCATCCAAAAAATTGAAAATTAAAGTGATTGCCCCCACTTGTAAATAATTACCAATTTTTCTTCAATCAAATTAATTTTTTAACCAATCAAAAAAAAAAAATTCTCAAATTTAAATCATATCAACTTTAAACTCTAGCTTCTGATGATGTCTTTTACAATGAATCCTCATCCTGTACTTAAAACATCCAGTGTAATGGCAATAACTGCACTTAAACCTCGGAGGTTTTCCACACTCAAGATTAATATGAGTAACAAGATGTTTCTTGTACTTGTAACTCTTCCCACATTCTTTATTAGGACACACATGAGGCCTTGAAGGATCAAACGAAGGGAACAATTTGAGCGGTATGACCTCCTCATCTTTATGCATTGCCGCTGAGTGCCTCCTAACATGTCCGGCCTTGTCCGATTTGTAAGGACAAAGACTGCAGCGATACCTAGCGGGCTTGCTGCAAGCGTGGGAATCCCTCAGTTCTTCGGTCTCAAAAGTCTTATCGCAGTTCGGGTTCGCGCATGCGAACCTCACGTTCTCCAGGCAGGGAAGCTCGATAGTTTCCGTTTTGGGAATCACTTGGCTCCAATCTGAAAAATAAAATTTTTTTGTTAGCAATTTTTATTTCTTCTCTTGTAAAAAAATTACTAAATTTTTTTATTCTAAAAGGAATTTTTTTCAGGCAAATTTTAGGAAAAATTTATTAGAATTTTTATTGTACAAAAAAAAAGATTTTTACATATAAAAAAATTAATCTTAGCTTTAAAAAATCTTACAAAGAAAATTTACATTTTTTTCAATTGAAAAAAAAAAATTATTTTTTTTTAAATAAAATTATAATTTTTATATAAAAAATTATAGAACTTTTTTTTGGTGCTCGGAAATAAAAAAATAAAAATGAGGTAGCTTTTAAAATTAAACTGAAGGAGGTAAAACAGCAATCCAACAACACTTCGATAGTTGCAATAGAATATTTGTCATTTAAAATTTTTGTCAACTTCGCGCCGGTCTTGTGTAGGTGTCTTCTTTAAAACTAAAGTTCCGAACCTCGAGAACTTTTACTTCGAAGCCTTTGTGCTTGGAAAAGCTGTGGCTTTTTATGTGAGAAGAAAGGTGAGAACTGTAAGCGCAGTACGCGCAATTGTAGCGGTGAGGCTTGTTGCAGAAATGTTTCATGTGGTAGTTTCTTGTGCGCTCGTTTTTAAAGCTGCTCGTACAGTCTTTGTTTGTGCAAGCGAAACGTTTTTGAGAAACTTGCAGACGGGAACTTATTCTATAGCCTGGAAAATAAAAATATTAGGTTTGTTAGTAAAGTTTTTGAATTTTGTTTTTTGGAAAAGTAGAAATTTAATTTTTTAATGAAGAAATAATAAATTTTTACCATTTTTGACTTTCTTTTTTTGTCTAATTTAATTTTGTGAGTTATTTTGAAGATTAAAAATAAATTAAAAATTTTGAACTGAATTTTACAAAAAAATTAGGAAAAAATTTTAAGCTTGTTGATTTTTTAATGTACTTTTCGAATAAATAACAATTAAAAAAAAAAAAACTTTTTTTAAATTGATAAAATTTTTAATTAAAAAAAAAAAATGTTCATTAAAAATCAATAAAGTGAGTGTTTTTAGAAAGAAATTGAATTTCAAATTCAAAATTTTGTATTAAAAAATACAAAATTGTAATAAAAATTAAAGTTTAGTAACTTAATTTTGTAAAAATGTCATTTTTAATATACTTTTCAATATTAAATACAATTTTTAAAAAAAAACTTGCTGAAATTTCAAATTCTTAAAAGAAATCCTGTTATTATTTTAAATTATTCCAGTTCCAATGCAGAATTTGATTGAAAAATTACAAGACTTTAGAATATTGATAAGAACATTAAAAAATCCCTTTTCTAAATTGAACTTTTGACTAGAATATTTAAAATTCATTGATAAAATGATATCAATTCACAAAAGTCAAATTTTCGCCTAAAAATTCACTTGCCGCCAAAATATCTTCAAAGAAGAAATACCTTAATGCGAAAATAAGATGTTCAAAAGCACTTAGCGAAGAAAGACTAAAAAACTGCAAAGATAAAAAAATCCAATGAAGAAAAAGTACCTAAAAAGTAAAAATAACATCTAATTGTCTTCAACAAGCTCGCACTGAAACTCAGCATCAGGATGCTTGTCGTCAATATGATCCCTGACCCTGGCTTCAATAGAGCTGATGTAGTCGCAGTAGAAGCACTTGTAATTGGGCTTCCCGCACTCATAAGTCAAGTGCGTCATCAAGTGCGAGTTGTACTTGTATCTCTTCTTGCACTTAGAGTTAGGGCAGCTGTAGATCCTCGTCTCGTAGTTAGGATTGTACAATTCTATCACTTTGGGTTCCATGTCCTTGTGCTTGGCAATTATGTGCCTCTTGATCACTCCGGACATGTGGGAGGTTTGGCTGCAGTAGCTGCATTGGTACCTCGGAGGTTTGTTGCAGAAATGCTTCATGTGGTAATTGCGCGTGCGCGTGTCCTTGAAAGTTGAGCGGCAATTCTCGTTCTCGCATGCGTATCTTTCCTGTGCTGGAATGCGCATGCGTCGCTGTTGTGCCGGTGCGCGCGCATATGTCAGCTTGATTTCGCTCCATTCTGCAAAATAAGAAGAAATTTTTTTGGTTAGATTTAGTGAAAATTTTTTACTTTGTTGAAGAAAACTGAACCGATTATTTGTAATTAATTTTTTTCTTACAAAAACTAATTTTTTTTTTTATTAAAATTGACTTAGTAACATTTTAGTTTATAAATTATCAATTTTCCTTCATTTCTTCTTTTTCTTCTGCTCACGCATCAATCCTGAAAAATATCAGTTTGTTTGTTAATTAAAAATATTTTTTTGATAAATTTTTAATATTTCTTCTTTATGACAAGTTGATTTTTATTTCTTGACTTTTAAATTATTTAAAAAGCTGAAAATTAATGAAGAATATATCTTTATAAAATTAAAAAAAATTATTATTTTAAATTTATAGTGATTATTTATTATAATTATTAAAATATCTGTAGTTATAGAAAAAATCAACCATTTTAATGTGCAAAATGATATTAATACAATATTTGACAATTATCAAGATTATATAATGAAAATTAATTAGAAAATTTTATTGAATTAAATACATTTTATAAGAAAATAAAATTGAAAGTTGAAAATTTAAACTCAAAATTTTATGAAAAAAAAAAACAAATTATTTAACAAAGTCAAAATTTGATGAAAATTTTCAAAAAAAAAAAAAAAGACATCATGATTTAACTTTCTTAAAAGTACATAACTTGTTTATATATCAAAATTTAATCTTTCATCATAAAAATATTATTTTATATTTATCAAATATAATTCTATTGGTCGGAAGTCAATTTTAAAAAAAAATAAGGCACTTCTTATCACTAAAGTTCAAAACCCGCCATCATATAGTTATAAACTTCATAGCTTCCTCAGGATGCTTGGACGCAGTATGATTCTTAATTCTATACTTGCGATTATTTTTATAATCACAGTAACAACACTTGAACCTCGTCATATTCCCGCACTCAAAATTCATATGCTTCATGAGAGTCCTCTTGCGAATATATTTCTTCCCGCATCCTTCATTTGTGCACTCAAAGTAGTCCGCGTTCTTGATCTTCACGGCGACTTTCTTAACTTTCTTCTTCAAATTCTTGTGACTTTTTTGCAAATGCGCGTTCACTTTTGAGCTGTACTTGGACTCAAATTCGCAGTAGCCGCACTTCAGCCTGGGAGATTGTTCGCAACAGCTGTACTTCATGTGGTAGTCTCTGTCGCATTCGCTTTTGAATATTTTGTCGCAGTTTTGGTGAGAACAGGGGTAAAGTTTGCTCTTTACTTGCAGAAGTTTGTAGATGGGCGCTTCGCACTTTATCAGCTCGATTTTTGGAATTTTTTTCTCTGAAAAATAACAAATTTTCTGGTTAGTTTTATTTCTTCTGAATTATTTATCTTAAATTGTAAACAAAAAAGACAGGTTTGAAAAGAAATGAAGACAAAAAATCATTGAAGAAATTTATATTATATTTATTTTAATTACATTTTTTAATAAAGAATAAATTTTGCTTCTTAGAGTTCAAAAAATTTTATCTAAAATATTTAACAATTTCTTGCATTAATTTGTTGAAAATTAATTTAAAAAAAAATTTCCATAAATTTTTTTCTGTTAAATATTTAACAAAACATTTTTCAGTACAAATTTTTTTTCTCAACTATTTAACTTATTTTTACAGTCAAAAAAATTTATATTAACTATATAATCAATTTTTTGACTAATTTTTCTTGTTAAAAATTTAACAAAAACATTTTAACTAAAAATTTGTTTTTGTTAAAAATTAAACAAAAAAAAAATTTATTAAATACTTACAAAAAAAAAATTAACAAATATTTAGTAAAAAATATTTTTTCCTGTGAAGAAATGAAAAAATTAAAATAAAACAACAAACTGAAATTCTTCATTAGGATGTTTCAAACTCGAATGTTTCTCTATCCTATCCTTAAAACCATTCTTAAAGTCACAATAAAAGCATTTGTACCTAGGCGGCTTATTACACTCATACTGTAAATGTCTAGTCAAATTATACTGATGGTGATATCTTTTAACACAATTTTCATTAGGACAAGCGTAGATACCAGTTCCACGTCCACTTTGGTTCGTCCTAACAACATCAATCATCTCTCCCTTGTGTATCGCTTGGATATGTCTCTTAACATCGGTATAATAGTGAGAACTGTGCTCGCAATAATTGCACTTATAACCCGGCGGCATGTTGCAGGAGTATTTACTGTGTCTACTGCAGTCCGCTTTGTTTTTGAAGGTCTTAGTGCAGTTGGAGTTCGGACAGGCAAACCTTTTCCCCTTGGGTTCAATCTTTGTAGATTTTGCAGGTTCCAAAGGGTCTATGTCGGGGATTATGTACTCTGGGAACACAAAAAAAAAAGAGTTTTATTAGTGAATTGACTCTTTACAGCAATGCAAAACTTTGGAAAAATTTAATTACAAAATTTTAATGCATAAACTTTAAAAATATCAAAGTTACAATTTTAATCAAAAGGACTTAAAAAATAAAACACTTTATTTTTTCGCGAGTATTTATTAATCAGACTTTACAAATTTACCATCTTCTCAACATTTAACATAATACGTTGGTTTATCAGGATGCTTCGCCAGCATATGATTCTCGACATCTTTCTTAGAAAAGTACTTGAACCCGCAAATCAAGCAGCTAAACTTGGGAGCCTTTCCACACTCGCAATCAATGTGCTTAAATAAATCTTCCTTGGAACTGAACCTGCGCCTGCAGTTCTTGTTGGAACAAATGAAGCTGGGGAGTTCCAAGCTGGCGCCATAGACATCAATCATAGTAAAGGGCAATTTTTTGTGATGTCCTTTCCAGTGGACCTTGATGTTCCCGGTCAAGTGGGATTTGTAGTCACAGTAACAGCACTTGTACCTCGGCGGCTTGTTGCACATGTTCTTGATATGATAATTGCAGTCTGTTCTGTTCTTGAAGCTCTTCCTGCAATTCGGGTTCGTGCATACGAACCTTTCGCCGTTCATAAAGGACTCAATTCTCTGGCCTTCTTGGTGCAGCGGAAATTCTATAAAAAAAAAATTATTTGTTAGAAAAAAAAAAAATTATTTTTTTTTTAATAATATTTCTTTTTTTTAATTTTTATTTTTTTTTTCAATTTTTGTTTTTTTTTCTTCAATTTTTGTTTAAAAAAAAATTTCATTAAAATTTTTATTTATTAATAAATAAATAAAAATTTTTATTTATTAAATTAATATTTTTATTTTATTGTTATTTATTAAATTATTAGATTATTATTTTTATTTAAATTTTTATTTTAAAAAAATATTATTTTTTTTTAAGTTTCAAAAAAAAAAATCAAACTAATTTATTAAAAATTTATAAATTTTTATTCAAAAGTACAAAAAAAAATTAAAAAATCAAAATTTTGTTCTCTTGCGCTCTTTTTTCTTCGCAAAATTGCTCCGAAAGTTGCAGTAATAACAAGCCGAGTTTCCGTTTTTAGTGCAATCATTGGGACAAGTGTAATCAACGCTCAAAACTTTGTTCATATCAACGATCAAAATTTCCCGGTTCTTGTGCTTGGCACGCGCGTGCCTGCGAACGTTGTGAGGGCGGTAAGATCGGTAGTCGCAGTACCCGCATTTGTATTTAGGAGCGACGTTGCAAGTGTACTTGACGTGAGAATAGTAAGCTTTCTTGTTTTTGAAGAATTTTCCGCAGTTTGGGCGGGTGCACTTGATACACTTTGTGGACTCCTTGGTTTTAAGGAAGGGTTTTTCTCGGAGAGTTGGGCGAGATGGCCGCTCAGGGGAACTGGAGACCCTCTTGCGGTACATTTCTCGGAGACTCGGAAGAGGTATGGCTGAAATCAGAGAATTTTTGGGTAGATTAGAGAAAATGATTGGAGAGCCAGGAAGTTCACTGGTCAAATTTGAGATAAAAAAATCCACAAAAAAAAATAGTGGAAAAATTGATTTTTTGAGGATTTGCAAACGTAAAATATTTTTCAAGTTTGTTTTATTAAACTTTTACAGTCTTATTAGATTTAAAAGAAAAAAAAAATAGTGAAGAAATAAAATTCTTAATAATAATTAAAATGAATTGTTTAAGAATAAAAATTACCCAAACAAAAATAAAAAATAAAGTTAAAAAAATCAAAAAATCCCACTTTGATTCATCAAATCAACAAACATAAACTTCTTATTTTTGTGCCTTGCATTAGAGTGTCTTCTGATCTTAGATTTAGCAACTGAGCGATAGACGCAATAAAAACACTTGTATCTTTTTAATTGGCTGCACTGAGTCCTAACATGAAAGACCAAATTTTTTTCCCAGGTGAATCTTTTCGCGCAATTTGGACACACGTGTGAAGGTTTACGACCGGTCATTTTTTTGAGCTTAGGTTCTTCTGGGTGCAGCTTTACCATCCAATCTGAAAAATTAAGTTCAATAAATTAGTATAACTTGAAATAAAAAATATTTAATTAAAAAAAAAAAAACAATCAACCGTGCAAAATTTTATAAAAACTACAATTTTAATTCTTAGAAAAATATATACAAAAATTTGAGGAAATCTCAAATTTACTGAAAAAAATTAATTATCATTTTTTGTAATGTCGCATGTGAATAAGATCAATATTTTGAGTAGCACACTGATGGAAGGATTTATTAATGATTAATTAAAACCTGAAAATTCCAAAAGAAGAAATATTAAATATAGTTAAAAAAAAGCTTGCATAAAAAAAACCCCAAAATATTTTTTGTGCAATATTTTATTCTTATTTTCTATAAAAACAATATTTGCGCATGTGCGACAGCAGCGACCTCTTGAAAGAAAAAACTTCAGTGCAATTTAAATTTTGACAATAATATCTTTCTTCTCTGTTAACTTTGTACAATTCAACGACCGGCGTAATGGCGTCTCGGTGAATATTAACCGCGTGTCTCTTCACGTCTTTCCGCCATGTTGTTCGGTAGTCGCAGTGAGCGCACTTGAACCTCGGTGGTTTTCCACAGTGATTATTAACATGACTCTTTAAATTGTGGTAGGTACTGAAGATACTTTTGCAGTTCGAATTCGGACACGGGTATTTAGATCTGCGCAAGTCTTGGCGCAGCCAAGGCAACAAGTTATTTATTTCTTCTTTTCCTGGAACAAATTTATTCATTTTTTTTAATTAGTAAAAAATTTCTAATTTTCTTTTTCTACAATTATTATTATTCAATTTAATTAAACTCGCTATTAATTAGTTAGTTTTAATTTAAGATTAGTTAATTTTTATTGTTCAGCTTGCAGTACATCAATAGAGGTTACAAATAGAAACTTCTTGTTCCGGGTGGAGTTTTTTCTGGTGTTTCTTCACATCCGCGGCCCATTTTGACGTGTAAGTGCAGTAGAAACATTTATACCTTGGTGGCTTGCCACAGTGGTACATCATGTGGCTTCGCAAATTGTAGTACAGGCTAAAGGCACTATTGCAATTCAAATTTGGACATTTGTACTTTGGAGCTCCGGGCTTTGCTCGACGGGAGGCGCCTTTTTTCAATCGCTGAGGCACGAAATTACGAAATGTTATACACTTGAAATCTGGAACAAATTTTCCGTAAATTAGTAAATTAAAAAAAAAATAACCAATTGATTAACTAATGATTAATTAAATCTACAAGATTTTTGATTAAAAAAAAAATTATGAATTTCAGGTTCAAGTTTATTTATTAAGAAATGTATTTTTTTATTTAAATATTATTTTTTTTTCAGTCATATTAATATTAAAAAATTTTTTTATTATATTATCTATATTATTAAAAGAATAAGAAAAATTTAGTGTCCAGGATAGTCGTGATAAAATCGGTTTTTTTTGTAAAATTTAGAGTCAGTGCAAAGGTCTAGAATTTGTGCTTTTTCAAGGTTTCATATCATTCTCACTAATAGTCAATTTTTTATGATGATTATTTAGGCTGCATTTGAAAATGCTTTATCTCTGAAACATAATTAAGAAATTACCTTGTATCTTGTGAACTGTCAACATTTTTTAAGATATAAGCTCATCTTGATGTTACACTCGTCGAGACCTTTCACTTGAGTACCCACATCAATATTTCATATATTTATATATATTATATATATATATATATATGTATATATAAAAAATATATCAAAAGTGCATGTGGGTACTCAAATGAAAGCTCTTGATGAGTGTAACATCAAGATGAGCTTATATTTTTAAAAGCATCGATAGTTAACAAAGTACAGTGCAATTTAACATAATTAAAAAATGATCTTGTATCTTGTTAACTATTGACATTTTTAAAGATATAAGCTCATTTTGATGTTATACTTATCAAGACCTTTCATTCAAGTACCCACATCAATTTTTCATATATTTATATATATATTATATATATGTATATATGAAAAATATATCAAAAATGCATGTGGGTACCCAAATGAAAGCTCTTGATAAGTATAACATCAAGATGAGCTTATATTTTTAAAAATGTCAATAGTTAAGAAAGTACAGTGTAATTTAACAAAAGTTATTAAAAAAATAATATTCAAAAATTTACAATTATTTCATCAACAATTTTACAACATAAACCATCTGTCCAGTGTGAAGATTTTTCAAGTGTTTTTTAATATCCGCCGACCACTTGGACACATACTCGCAATACGGGCATTTAAACCTCGGAGGTTTCCCGCAAACAAACTTAAGATGTCGGTTCAACTCGTAGTGATTCGTATATGTCTTCCCGCAATTTTTATTCGTGCAAGAATAAACAGCCGCCATTTTTGCCACATTGGATTTTTCCGCTAAATTTCTCCGAGGATTGCAGTACTTGGCGTGTCTCTCAAGACCCACCCTAGTGGGAGTCTCAAACATACAATCCGGGCACTTGTACTTCGAAGGCTGTCGGCAGGTAATCATGTGCATGCTCAGTAGGCGCCGGGTTCGAAATACGCATGCGCAATAGGAGTTCGAGCAGTGGAACAAGATGTTTCGATCTTCTGGAGGGCATTTTGGAGAAGGCGCTGCAAAAGAAAGGTTATTATTAGACCTAAATATCCAAAAATTAAAGAAGAAATCACAGTAGTAATTTTACATGCGTGTGATGAAATAAAAAGAAAAAAAAAATTTTTTTTTAAAACAATTTTTAATCAATACAATTGTAATCTTTTGGGATGCGCTTTGCGGCGGTGGAATTTTAAATTCGAGGGAAATTGACAAACATAAGAACACATGGAACAGTGGAATGGCTTGCAATTCTGCTCATGGCGCAGCCGTTCATCTTTGCTGTAAAAAAATTTCCCACAATCGAATTTGGAACAAGTGTATTTTTGGTCTTTTCGAGTCGAGGGGTTCCAAAGTTCAATTATCATCACTTCCTGGTTCTTGTGCATCCGGTCTGCATGCGTGCGCACGTTGGTTATGTTATTTGTGTCGTAATTACACAAAGAACACTTGTAACGCGGCGGCTGATTGCAAACGCACTCTAAGTGCTTTGCTAAAGTTGATTTTGTTTTGAACAATTTGTTGCAGTTCTTGGTTGGGCACCTAAATCCTGGAACAGAAAAAAATTTCGCATTAATTTTTTTATTTTTGGAAAAAATTAAAGAAGAAAAGTTTAAAAAAGTGGAAATTGCAGAAAAGATTATTTTTCAGAGTTTTTATTTTTAAAATAAATAATTATACACAATTCTTTTCAGAATGTTTAGTTTGAACATGTCGCCGGGTATTCTTGCTCCACTTAGACTGATAGGGGCAATACGGACACTTGAATTTAGGCGGTTTTCCGCAGTAATTGTTTATATGTCGGTTTAACTCAGATTGAGAGTTGTAGACGCTGGAACAATTTTTGTTAGGACATGTGAACCTTTTTACGGTGTTTGCAAACTGGTTCCACTGGTCGATTATTAATGTTTCTTCGTGCAAGTGGAATGAGTTCGCGTGGCGAACTATGGCTGATGTTTCCCAGGCGTAGAAGGCGCACCGAGAACATTTGTACCTTGGGACGTTCTTGCAGTTGCTAATTATGGGTTTTGCGAAATTTTCTAGAGTCCTTGGTGGAAAATTATCTGAAAAAAGAAATATTTATTAGAATTTTGTATTTTATAAATATTGCTTCTTTTAAATGGTTTTAAAAATTTACAAAATTAAACGCATGCTAAAAGTTGTTTATTTAGCTTAATTATTGGTTGCTTCTAACTGTAACAAATGTTTTTTAGGATGGAATTTTAGCGTTGGATCAAAAAGGAGCTCTGCAAAAAAAAAGTAAAATTTTGGTAGTTTTTAATAAAATTCAAAATTGTCATCAAAATTTATTTGTAAAAAGTTTATTAATAATTATCGATATTTTGTGGCCAGTGTATTTATTTGATAAAATGGGTTTTTATGGTTAAATATTGATATTTTTAAAGATATAAACTCATCCCGATGTTATACTCATCAAGACCTTTCATTTGAGTACCCACATCAATTTTTCATACATTTTGTATATTATATATATTGCACAAATACCATATATGTAAAATATGTAAAAAATACCATATGAGTACTCAAATGAAAGGTCTCCATAAATGTAACACCAAAATGAGTTTATATCTTTAAAAATGTCAATAGTTCTCAAGACACATAATTAAGAAATGACCTTGTATTTTGTGAAATATTGACATTTTTAAAGATATAAGCTCACTCCGACATTACACTCATCAAGACCTTTCATTTGAATACCCACATCAATTTTTCATATATTTTATATATTTATATATATTATGTATATGTATATATGAAAAATATATCAAAAATGCATGTGGGTACTCAAATGAAAGCTCTTGATGAGTGTAACATCGGGATGAGCTTATATCTTTAAAAAAGTTAATATTTAAGAAGGTACAGTGCAATTTATCAAAATCCATTATTTAATAAAGCAAAATTTTATTCATGTATAGTTCACAAGTCACGGCAGTCACATAGTGACTGCAAAGTTGCTAGTTTTAATATAAAATTGTTGAAAAAAAATTAATAAAAAGTTGTTCATTATAAATCAGTACAATTACTATTAATATGCCTAAGAAAACTGCTCTTATACTTATAACTCTTCTGACAGTTCAATTTCGGACATACAAAATTTCCCTGCGAATTCGCCAAACAATTTTCACCCAAATTTCCCTCAGAATTTTCCCCTAACTTAGACTTGCAAGCATTGTAATAATTATCAATAACAAAAACTTGAAGCTGCGGATGAATTTTTTCTACATGCTTCTTCACCATTTGATTCCACTTGGCTTGATGAGGGCAATAGGGACACTTGTACCTCGGCGGCTTGCCACACTGATAATTAAGATGAGTGACCAAATTCCTGTACTGCTTAAAAACACTGCTGCAGTTGTTGTTCGGGCACTGGTACCTCCCGTCTCGTTTCATCAAGCCTATAAAATAAAATTGTTCCAATAGTTAGTCTTCAATTCTAAAATTATCTTTTTAAGGAATTTTTAAAAAAATTAACAAAAATCTTTTGAGCTTCTAGTATAACTTTATTTGATAGTTCACAAATTTGTGTCTTCAAAAAAAATTATTCTTCTTGATTACATTTAATACTAATAATAATAATAATTATTATGAAAGAAGAAATAGTAAATGCTTATTTCTACTGCGACTTTTATTTATAATCTATTTTATTTTTAACAGAACAAAATGATTAGAGCCTCTAGTCGATGAAGTATATACAAAACATTTATGTGAACAATAATGAGTATGCAGTTTTAATTTAACAAAATTTTAATAGATGTCGCAGTAGTGAATTTTTAACAGATGGTAGATTTTTTTTAGGCTATTAATAAACAACGTTACATATTAAAATATATATTTTTATATAAAAATGATAGGTGATTATAAATCAAAAGCAAAAAAGTGAAAAAATTACTTAAATTATATCTAGGAAAATTTTTTATTTCTTCTCAAGAAGAAATTTTCAAATAATATCAATTTGAAATGTTCAAATATTTTATTTCTATCCTAAAAAATTGTCTGATTTTTTAAGAAAAAAAAATTATTTAATTCACTGATAGAAGGATTTATTAATTATTAATAATTTAATTTATTTGAAGAAAATTATCGAATTTATTGAATTTTAATAAATATCTTTTAACAAATACTTACTAACAGTTAATAATTAAGAACTGACCTTATATTGACATTTTTAAAGATATAAGCTCATCCCGATGTTACACTCATCGAGACCTTTCATTTGAGTACCCACATCAATTTTTCATATTTATGTATATTATATATATATATATATATATGTTTATATATATGTATATATAAAAAAAATATATGAAAAATGCATGTGGGTACTCTAATGAAAGGTCTCGATAAATGTAACATCAAAATGAGTTTATATCTTAAAAAATGTCAATAATTAAGAAATAACCTTATAACTTGTGAAATATTGACATTTTTAAAGATATAGACTCATCCCGATGTTATACTCGTCAAGACCTTTCATTTGAATACCCACATCAATTTTTCATATATTTTATATATTTATATATACTATATATATGTATATATAAAAAATATATTAAAAATGCATGTGGGTACTTAAATGAAAGCTCTTGATGAGTGTAACATCTTTATGAGCTTATATCTTTAAAAATGTCAATAGTTAAAGAAGTACAGTGCAATTTAACAAAAGTCATTATTTAATAATGCCAAATTTATCCTTCTATCAGTGTTATTATCTTAAGACATTTCTCCTTAAAAAAAAAAAATCCGCTAGATGTTATGCAGGAATTTAAAAAAAATAAAGTGAAGAAAAAAAATTAAGCCACAACAGTCTGGGTGCCTTTAATAATCCAGACATCGTGATTAGGATGAACATTTCTAACATGGCGTCTAACATCGAACCCAGTTTTAGCGCGGAACTCGCAGTAGGGACAGCGGAACCGCGGAGGTTTTCCGCACTTGAAGCGGTAATGCTGAGTAAGTTCATTTTTACTGCTGAATTTTCCGGAACAATCGGTATTAGGACAAGCGTAGTAGCGCAGTTTTTTGTGCGGTTCCTCTTCGGTTCCAGGAACCCCGGGAGCTTTGAAGGAACTGGAGGAACTAGATTGTGGATCCACGGGTTCTGCCTGTTCGTAAACAGGCTCCGGAACCAGCCGATGCTTCGGAGGGCGACCTGGTCTCCTGGGTAGGCTTGAAGTACGGTCTCTGTTCAAAGGCCCGGGGCGCTGCTGTCGGTCGTGGCGCTTCAGGTGGCGGATGAACAGTCGCCGCACGGGGGATAAGTAGTCGCAGTACGGACACTCGAAGTTCACAGCCTTTCCGCAGGTATTGCGCATGTGCCTGGTCAGGCTTGCTTTGTTACGGAACACCTCGCTGCAGTTCACGTTCGGGCACTCGTACTTCCAGTAGCGCGGGTTGTCATGCGTTTCTGATTCTGTTTCTGGAGGACCTATCAGGCCCAATCGGATCAGTCTCACTACAGGGGTCTTCAGTCCTGAAAAATATTCAGAGAAAAATTTTGTTAGTTTTTTTTTTTTTAGATAAATATCTTTTTTTATAAAAATTATTTTTAAGTTAGTTACATTTGCCCGATTCAAGAATCTTAATTTATTTTTTTTATTGTTTAGGTTACATATTTTTTAAGTAAAATTAATATTAATTCAAAATTAATTGTAAATTTTTTTTAAATATATTTATTTATAAATTGTTTTTTTTTTTTTTTAACTTAAAAAAAAATTCCTAAAACTAACTTTTTTGACTTGAATTTGTGTCTTTTCAAGATTTCATATCATTATCATTGATAGTCAATTTATTTTGATAAGTATTTAGGTTGCATTCGAAAATATCTCTAGATACAAAATTAAGAAATGACCTTGTATCTTACAAAATATTGACATTTTTAAAGATAGAAGCTCATCCTGAGATTACACTCATCAAGACCTTTGATTTGAGTACCAACATCAATTTTTCATATATTTATATATATGACATATATGTATATATGAAAAATATATCAAAAATGCATGTGGGTATTCAAATGAAAGCTCTTGACGAGTGTAACATCAAAATGAGTTTATATCTGTAAAAATGTCATTAGTTCTAAAGATACATAATTAAGAAATGACCTTGTATCTTGTGAAATATTGAAATTTTTAAAGATATAAGCTCATCCCGATGTTACTCTCATCGAGACCTTTCATTTGAGTACCCACATCAATTTTTCATATATTTTATATATTTATATATACGATATATATGTATGTATGAAAAATATATCAAAAACGCATGTGGGTACTCAAATGAAAGCTCTTAATTAGTTCAACATCAGGATGAGCTTATACCTTTAAAAACGTCAATAGTTAAAAAATTACAGTGCAATTTAACAAAAGTCATTATTCAACAACTCATGGCAGTCACGTAGTTATGTTTAACAAAACGAAGAAGACACAGGAACTCGATCTGCGCGCTGTAGTTCCAAATGTTCCATCACCACGCCACCTAGCGTCGGAACTTCGAATGCCGGTTCTTGAAACTCTGAAAAAAATATATCTTAATTAATAAAATTCCTTTTCAACTATCTCCAAACTAAACTAGAGGACCAAAAATCTGAATTGAACCTTAAATTCAATTTCTCCACTTTAATATATTTATTTAAATTTTAACAATAATAATTTACATAGCCGATTAATAATCATCTATCAATCAATACTCGATAATTAATACTGTTCTATAACGCAAACACTTTTTCCAGGGTGAATGCACCGGATATGCTGCTTGATGTTCGTGGATAGCTTCCCCACATGAAAGCAGTAGGGACACTTGAACCTGGGCGGTTTGTCGCAGAAGTGCTTGAGATGATAAGTCAGACTGTATTGCTTCTTAAAAGTGCTCCCGCAGTTGAGGTTCGGGCACTGGAACTGGCCTCTAGCTTTGTCCGGCTTGTACAACTCGACCAGAGCGACCTCTTCGTTCGGGTGCTGCTTTGAGGTGTGCTTCAGAACGTCGTGCTTTCTCGGAGATCGATAGTAACACTTGGAACACATGAACCTCGGTGGTTTTCCGCACTCAAAGTTTATGTGCTTGGTCAAATTGCTCCGCCACTTGAATACGCGTGCGCAGTTTGAGTTCGGGCAGGGGAACATGTCTTGCGCATGCGCGGCTCCTGTTCCAAGGCCTGAAAATAGAACCAGACGCACAGGGTTATTATTTATTTATTATAAATATTTTTAATTATTGAGATAAAAATTTAATTTATAAAATTTTAATTAATATATTTATTTGTTTACCATTTAGGATATTTTTAAAATAATTATAAAAATCCTAGAATTATTTTTTTTCAGGTACGTAAAACATCGAGACCTGCTGGTACTTCGGCGGCTTGTCGCACATGTAACTAGTGTGGTAATTCAGTGCGTAGAGATTGGCAAAGGCGGCGTTGCAGTTTAGGTTGGAACAGAGGAACTGGCCAGGAGGTTCCGGCTTCAGTTCCGGTAGAACCAATCTTGGATCCGGTTGTGGAACAGGTAAATTTTGATTGTTCGGCAGGTTCTGCTGCTGATTGATAGCTTCTGTAAGCTGATTAGGATGTTTCGCACTTGCGTGGCGCAACACGTGCTGCTTAAATGGAGATTGATACTCGCAGCGCGAGCATCTAAAGCGCGGCGATTTTCCGCACTCGTACTTCATATGACGCGTCAAATTGCTCCGCCAGTTGAACACTTTTGTGCAGTTCTTGTTCGGGCAGTGGAACTCTACAGCGTCCATTGCTATTACACAGTCGTCCCCGCTTTCTAGTTTTAATTTACGAGGAGACTGCTTTGCAACCACTTGAGGATTTTGCCACTCTGCAAAATACAAAAAAAAATTGTTAGTACTAATTTCGAAGGTTTTAATTATAAGTTTTATTATCCCACACCGTAGTTAATATTATTGATTTCTTCCTGAAATAAAATTTATGTTATAAAGTTTTTATAATTATAAATTATTTTATTTAAATTATTAGATTCTTTTAATAATAACAAGGCGGTTTTTATTTGATAAAATAAAGGTACATAAATAAATAATTAAAAAATTCAAACATTGTATCTGTCGATAATTTTGACTTTCATACCGGGATGGAACACACTGATGTGAATAACCATAGGACTCATTGTCATGGACTTGTACGGGCATTTAGAGCACTTGTACCTTGTCGGTCCGCTGCACTCAAGTCTAACATGCTCATTCATATTCGAGAGATTTGAAAAAGTTCGCCGGCAATTTTGATTTGGACACTTAAAACACCGCGGTTTAGGAGTTTCTTCTTCTTCATCATCTTCTTCTTCTTCATCTTCCAGATCTTCTTCATCCAAAATAAAATCCTCATCATCTTCATTATCTACTTCAACTTCTTCACAAATATCATCATCTTCATCATCAATTTCTTCTTTTTCAACTATTTTAACTTTATCTTTTTCTTTGTCCTTTAATTTTTCGATAACTTTTACTTTTCCTTTGTCAATAATTTTTCCAATAAACTTTACTTTATTTTTTATAATTTTATCTTTTGCTGGAACTTCATTTTGTATTTCTTCTTTATTATTACCTTTATTTTTTTCTACCATTGTATCTTTTTTGTCTGCAATTTTATCTGGTAATTTAACTTTATTTACTATCATTTCTTCTTTCTCTTTAACTTTGTTCTTCTTTAAAAATTTTACTATTCCTTTATCTAAAACTTTTACTTTGTTTACAATGATTTCTTCTTTCCCCTTAACTTTGTTCTTGTCTAAAAATTTTATTATTCCTTTATCTGCAATTTTTTCTGGCAATTTTACTTTGTTTACAATAATTTCTTCTTTCTCTCTAAGGTTTTTCTTTTCTAAAAATTTAACAATTCCTTTATCAGCAATTTTCCTTTTCTTATCTCTAATTTTTTCCTTGTCTATAATTACTGTTTTCTCTAAATTTTTTTCTTTTCCTTTAAAAACTTTTTTCCCCAAATCTTCAACCTTTTCTTCTTGCCCACCAATCAATCCAAAATTACCAACTCTCATTTCTTCTTTAACTTTAAACTTTTCTTCTTCAAACGCCATAATCATTTCATTTTCTACAATCACATCATCATCAATATCATCATCGTCAATTATAATCACAGCATGGTCATCTTTCTTCTCTTCTTTAACCGTCTTTTCTTCATCGACATCCATTCGCTCAACCTTGACTCCTGAAAAACAAAAAAAACAATTTTATTAGAATTTTTTAACATAAATTTTTATTATTTTTAAAAAGTAAGATTATAGACAAATAACCATAACTTGCAACAAAACCCCATAATTCAATTTTGTACCAAAAAAATAGAAATTTTCATTTTTTATTTATTAGTATATAAATTTTTTATAACTTTTAAATCCTTAGATCTTTAATTAAAAATTATTTTTTTAAATTTAAGTTTTGTAAAAAATTTCCATAATCCTTGAAGAAGAAATAAATGATTTGTAAGAAGCTGTTGTCATCAATGTGATCTCTGAATCAGTGTCATCTGAAACACAATAATTATTTGTCAATAAAAAAAATTTAGAAAAATTTTAATTAATAAAAACTAGCAATCTTGCAGTCACTATGTGACTGCTGTGACTTGTGAACTATAATGAATGAAAATTTTGTTTTTATTAAACAATGATTTTTGTTAAATTGCAGTGTACTTTCTTAAATATTGATGTTTTTAAAGATATAAGCTCATTCTGATGTTATACTTATCAAGAGCTTTCATTTGAGTACCCACATGCATTTTTTATATATTTTCCATATATACATATATATAATATATATTTTAAAGATATAAGCTCATCCCGAGGATACACTCATCAAAAGCTGTCATTTGAGTACCCACATACATTTTTGATATATTTTTTATATATTACAGTATATACATATATATATAATATATAATATATATAAATATATGAAAAATTGATGTAGGTACTCAAATGAAAGGCCTCGATGAGTGTAACATCGAGGTGAACTTATATCTTTAAAAATGTCAATATTTCTCAAGATAAAAGCTCATTTCTTAATTATTGACATTTTTTAAGATATAAAATCATTTTGATGTTGCACTTCTCAAGAGCTTTCATTTGAGTACCCACATCAATTTTTCACATATTTATATATATTACATATATATATATATATATATAGTATATAAAATATATGAAAAATTGATGTGGGTACTCAAATGAAAGGTCTCGATGAATATAATATCAGGATGAGTTTATATCTTTAAAAATGTCAATATTTCACAAGATAAAAAATCATTCCTTAATTATGTATCTAGAGAATTTTCAAATACAGCCTTAGTAATTATTATAATAAATTAACTATCGATAAGACTAGAATAAAACCTTGAAAAAGCACAAATTTAAGTCAAGACCCTTGCAATGACACTAAATTTCACCAAAAAAACCGATTTTATCATATAACTATTCTAAAAATAAAATTTTCTCTTATTAATAATATAGATAGATAATAATATAATATAGATTTAAGATTTCTTCTTTATTTATTTTCTGAAAAAAAAAAAAAAAATTTAAAGAATTAATTAAATTTAATAAAAATGATTTCTTCTTCAACTTTTCTCTGAAAAAAAAAATAATAAAAGAAGAATATAAAAAATTAATTTTAGCCTTAAATAAATATATTTAAAGAATTAATTAAATTTAATGACAAAAATTTAATAAAAACTATTTATTTTTGGTATAATAAATTTTTTCCTATAATAATAATAAATAAAACATAATTTATAAGAATTGTTAAAAAAAAAAATAATTTCATCAAATCACAGAAGCGATTGATCAATAAAAGTAACTTCGCTTCCAGGATGAACAACTTGAACATGTTTCCGCATATCAGAGCTCCATTTAGAGCTATGATCGCAGTACGTGCACTTGAACCTCGGCGGAGCTCCGCAAGTCTTCAGATGTTTCCTCAGATGAAGCTCATCCTTAAAAGCGCTGCCGCAGTTGCCGTTCAAGCAAGGGAAATTTCCAGGCACCCTTGAGCTGTAGCGCTCAACGACCCAGATCTCCTGGTCAGAGTGTCGCTTCTTGCAGTGAGTCTTAACGTTGCACTTCATGTGAGACATGTACTCGCAATAAGGACACTGAAACCTGGGAGGCTTTCCGCAGTGGTAGTTTATGTGAGTTCCTAAGTGCCGCTTTTCCTTGAACACGCTCGTGCAATTCGGGTTGGGACACGGGTACTTCTTGGAACTGGAACTATCACTGGAGTCCAGCTGCCCAAAGGTCTCGTGCATCATCAAGAATCCCGAGTCGAATTCTGCAAGTACAAAAATTTTTGTAGTTAATAATTGAGTTTTTGGGAAGAAATTTTTTTTTTAAAGCTTAAAAAAGAAAATTGAGTTCTGTATAACATTTATTAATTATTTTTTGATTTTTATTAAACATTACAATTTATTACAGCTATATTTATAATTAATTTTGGAAGTAAAATTTGTTTTTTTATTTTTAAAAGTCAAAATTATAACAAAAATTACAAATTAAAAAATTTAATACCCTAAAAACAATAAATAACTCCGAAAAAATAAAATTTAAAAAATTGTCAACAAAATGGCGGTCTTCTACGTGAATACTGCGCCTCTAGCGGAGTATTTTTGAAGCACGCATAGAAAGAAGAATAGTGGAAAAATTGAAGTTGATAAATAGGATTTTTTAGAGTTTTAAATATTAGTTAAGTCCCTTGAGGATTAAACTGTAAAAAGTAAATTATTATTGGTATTTATACCAACTGAATTTTTCAAATTATTCTTTTTTAAATTTATGAAATTTTTTTTAAAAATTAATGTGGAGATAAGTTCTATTTTTTTATTTAAAAAATAAAATTTTAAACAAATTAATTTCTTAGCTGAAGAAATAAAAATTATCTCAGTAACTTTCTTAGAAAAAAGATATCAAATTTTGGAAAAAATTAAATTTAGGTAGACAATTTCCAAATTTGTTATCCAAATCTAGAAAACTGTTTTAAGAATGTTATTAAAATTTGGAAAAAATCAAATTTACGTAGACAATTTTCAAATGATTCTCCAAAATTCTTTGTTTCCAAATTCATAAAATGTTTTTAAGAAAATTACTGTGAATAAAATTTTTATTTCTTCATCTAAGAAATAAAATTCAAAATAAATTAATTTCTTAGCCGAAGAAATAAAAATTATCTCAGTAATTATCTTATAAAAAAAGTTATCTAAATTTGGACAAAATAAAATTTCCAAATTTTTATCTCAATTTAGAAAATTGTTTCAAAAAAATTACTGTGAAGAAAAGTTTTATTTCTTCATCTAAAAAACAAATTTCTTTAAAATTTCCAACTGATAAATTTTCTATAATTCCCTTATTTTTTTCTCATTATTAAACTCCAAATAAAAAACTTCAATTTTTTCCTACAAGGAACTAACTTTTCCTGCCCAAATTTTTCCACTCTTTTCTCCTCGAACGACCTTGAATTAGGATTGATAATAAACAGGCTTTCCAACATTTCCACTCCTGTGTTTCCCGGTAGTATTATACAACTCAATAACAGCATTATCCCCATTAGGATGTTTTCTTCGTGCGTGTTTCTGCACATCGTGTTTATATACAGACTTATAATTACAGTAGACGCACAAGTATCTAGGCGGTTTGCCGCACTCGTGTTTCATGTGAAACCTTAACCGGTACTGATTCGCGTAAGTGCTCCTGCAATTCGGGTTTAAACACGGGTACTTAACCGACGCCGGTGAAGTTTTCTTCTCTAGTGCCACTGGATAAATGTACCCTGTAAAAACACAAAAATTAAATGTATTAGTCTCTTTAAATTATTTCTTCTCAATTTTTAAGAAATTGTTAAATTAATTCTATCAATCAAAATTACAAATTAAAAATTATTAATTTATAACAAAAAAACATTAGTGTAAAAATTAGGTCATGTATTTGCAAGTGTTTTCAATATGGTACTTCAAGTTATTAAAAGTCTTGAATGTTTTTTTACAATTTTCCCTAGGACAAATATAAGTACACTCGAATTTTATTTCTTCTTTAGCTTTTCCAATTTCAACAACTTTAACGGGTTCTAATGGATGAATTGTTTGAACGTGGCGCTCGACATCTTTACGCCATTTTGACGCATATTCGCAATATGGACACTTGTAGCGCGGCGGTTTCTCACACTGGTACTTAAGATGATAAGCCAAATTTTTTTTCCACTTGAAATTTTTGCTGCAACTCGGATTAGGACAGCTAAAATTTCCCATCAATTCGCCCATATTTCTTGTTTTGATTTTTGGCAAAAATTCTGGAAAATAAAAAAAAAATATATATTATTAGATAGAGAATTTTTAATTTATTTCTTCACTGGTAGAAGGATTTATTAACTATTAATAATTTAATTTATTTGAAAACAATTATTTAATTTATTAAATTTTAATAAATATTTTTTTGAGTGAATTTGTTCCGTTTGAAATGTCATAAATGAAGATTGCTTATATTAACAAAAATCATCTTTATAAATTATTTGTATTAATTATATTACACTAGCAACTCTGCAGTCACTACGTGACTGCCATGTGAATTATAAATAAATAAAATTTTGCTGTATTATATAATGACTTTTGTTAAATTGCACTGTACTTTCTTAACTATTGAAATTTTTGAAGATATAAGCTCATCTTGATGTTACACTCATCGAGACCTTTCATTTGAATATCCACATCAATTTTTCATATATTTATATATATATATATATATATATATTATATGTATATATGAAAAATATATCAAAAATGCATGTGGGTGCTCAAATAAAAGCTCTTGATGAGTGTAAGATTAAGATGAGCTTAGATTTTAAAAATACATATTATATATATGTATATATAAAAAATATGTCGAAAATGGATGTGGGTACTCAAATGAAAGCTCTTAATAAGTGTAACATCGGGATGAGCTTATATCTTTACAAATGTCAATAGTAAAATACCAAATTTTATCACAGCTCATAATCGTCTTTCGTATTTTTAAATATTAAAAACGTTTATTTATTTAGTATTTATTTCCAGCTATAAGGTTATAAAAAGAGTCAAAGAAAATTGCTTTTTTTGCTTTTTATTTCAAATAAATATTTGTTAATAGTTAATAAATATTCATCAACTATTAATAAATATTTATTAACCGTTAATAAATTGTACCTAATAAATTACTTATTAAAATGTTAATAAATATATGTTAATTTTCAACAAATATTTATTAAAATTTAATAAAGCTTATTAAATATAAACAAATCCTTCTATCAGTCTTCAGGGTTGGAAAATTTACAGAAGCTTGAGTATTTTTTTTTTATTTGGTTTTAATGAGAAGCGTTACAAAAAATCAGACATTCTTTTTTTAATTAATGTTTTACACAAATAAATCAATTATTTCCACATTTTGGTTCTTGTGTTTTATTTTAGTGTGTCGCGTTATTTGGAACTTTCTTTTTCCCGTGTACTGGCAGTAAGCGCACTGATACCGCGGCTCGATTCCACACTCCTTCAGATGCCGCTTCACCGAGCACTCGGAGTTAAAAATTCTTGGACAACCTTGACAGTGATATTTGTTTTTTATCATGATAAATTTCTGGTCTGGAAAAGGCTTCAGTTCTTCTGAGTCCGAGTTATCCTCGGCGTAATCCAGGGCTAGAAGCGAGCTGGGTAACAAATAATCTGCAAGCAAAATTAATTTTCTGGGTTCATTAAATAGATATATATATTATTCCTATTTTTAATTGTAAAAAAAACAATAAAGACAGTAATAAAGTAATTGGTTTAATTAGTAGAAAGTAAATCGGGAAGCGGAATTAAAGTAGTGATTTTACAAACAAAGTTTATTTATAAATTTACAATAAATAAATTGCACCTGAGATTTACACTTTGTAGGTCATACGCACTTAAAAAAAAAGTTGTTTTTTTTTTATGTACAATTTTAAAAAAATTTTTGTCGTATTAGAATTAAAGCTCAAATTATAAATAAAGGGTTAAAAAATATCTGAAAATTGATAAGAACCTTTTTTTTTGGTAGAAAATAAAATTTCCTACAAAATATATATCATATTTTTAATATTTAGTCCAGAATTTTAACTTTAAAATTTCTTTCCAGCTAATTTAAGTAAACAAGATTGAAATAAAAATTAAAATTGTAACTGATAAAAGAGAGGAACATTAATAAGGACCTTGTTGATAAAGGATCAAATTTTTTACAAAAAAAAAAATCTCTTACAACGTTTTTTGTACACAGAAAAAAAAAGTTGAACCAAAAAAATATTTTTCTTTTTTTTCAATTTTTTTTTAGAAAATTTTACTTGATTCAAGACAATTATTCTCTTCAAAATTATATTCTTGGTTCAAAAATTTTCATTTTGAATCAAGTTAATTTTTTTTTAGTGTGTATCTTTAATATTTACCCTACACACGGAAAGAACAAGATTATACTGGATATAATCCCAGATTATACTGAGTGAAAAAAAAACAACTTTCAGATAGTAGCTAGTATAATCCAGATAACAATGAGTATAATCCAGATATTATTCAGTATAATCTGGATTATACTAGCTACCATCTGAAAATTTTTTTCGCCTCAGATGTCACTGAGTATAATCTGAGATGGTATCCAGTGTCATCTTGTTCTTTCCGTGCACAGTAAGAAATTTTGCGTCATTGTGTCGAAAAATTTTTATGTTAAATATTTAACACTTTTTTTGTGTAAATTTAACATTTATTCTGTTAAATCAACACAAAAAAGTGTTAAATATTTAACATAAAAATTTTTCGACACAATGACGCGAGATGGTATCCAGTGTCATCTTGTTCTTTCCGTGCACAGTAAGAAATTTTGCGTCATTGTGTCGAAAAATTTTTATGTTAAATATTTAACACTTTTTTTGTGTAAATTTAACATTTATTCTGTTAAATCAACACAAAAAAGTGTTAAATATTTAACATAAAAATTTTTAACACAAAGTTTTTTGACGCAATGACGCAAAATTTTTTACAGAGTAAAATTTGAACTCTAACATTTCTTTCCAGCAGATTTAATTCGACAAGTTTAAAATCACTACTACTTGGGTTAAATGATAAGAGTTAGAGAAAAATTAATGGCCTTTTTTTGTAAAGAATTAAATTTCCTCCAAAAAAGGTCTCTTATTTTTTCCAATATTTAACCCAGAATTTGAAGATTTAAGTGAGCATAACCTTCTTATCAACAAAATTTTTCAAAATCAAAATTTCTTCTTTTCAGTAAAGTGTATTCCAACAATCTTATTATCAATAATATCGATGGCATAAGTGGTGCAGTTGACATGCCTAGTCCTGATATGTTGGGTGACATTGGAAGTGCGCTTGTAATGCAAATCGCAGTAGGGACACTTGAACCGTGGCTCCTGACCACATTCGTACTTTAAGTGCCTGGTCAGACTGTAATTATGACTAAAGGAGCTCCCGCATAAATTTGGACAGACGAATTTTTTAGTCGGCGCGTTATCCAGGCACTCGTATCTCACTGGCTCGCCAACCTCGTTCAGAAAATCTGAAAAAGCCAGTATTTATTATTATTAGTAAGTAATTTAAAACTTATACTTTTATCTTCAAGAAGACAACATTTATAACTCGCTAATTTGACGTGCATCAAGAGAAAAATCATTTTAATTTATTTGAAAGATATTTTACACAAGGTTTATAATTTCGCTCTAGGAATTCCACTGCTTCCGGGGCTTGTAGCTTCCCAAAGTGTCTAAAAAGTAAGGCTTCATATTTCTGTGCCTCCTTTTTGTGTGGTCAACCACATTGCCCGCGCGCTTGGCCATGTAGGGGCAATAGGGACACTTGAATCTTGGAGACAAACCACACTCGTATCTCAGATGATTTTTTAGTGTTAACTCGTGAGTATACACACTCGGACAATTCGGACATTTTACTTTAACCTGCGCAGCTTTAAGTCGCCTTCTTCTCAAGAAACCTGAAACAAAATTAAGAAAATGATTTGTTATAAAAAAATTATAATTAAATAATTTTATCATGCGCTTAAAATGGTTAAGTGGTTTAAAAATTATTTTTTTATTTACAATTTTAATTTTATTGAAATTTTTAAAAAATTTTAGTAAGAAAAATTTATAAAATTATTTTTTAGGTCTAAATTATTTTTAAAAGCAAGAAAAATTTCTTAAAAAATTATCAAATTTTTTTTAAATAATTTTTTAAACCTAGATAATTTTTTAAAAATTAAACCAAGAAAAATTCCTTCTTTAAAAATTGTCAAAATTTTTAAAAATTATTTTATAGACTTAGATAATTTTTAAAAAATTATATCAAGAAAAATTTATTAAAAATTTCTTTTTTAAAAATAATTTTTTAAAACCTAAATTATTTTTAAAAAACATCTTTAAAAATAATAATAATTTTATTGCCAAAAAATAACACAGTAATACTTAAATTAAATATACAAATTTTCAATTAATTAATCCATAAAAAAATAATTAAGAAATAAATTCAGTCTTGCAGCACTTAGCAATATCAACAACATAAACTTGAAGACCGGGGTGAATTTTTCTAACATGTGCGCGCACATTAGACGAGTGTCTAGTTCGATAAGTACAATACGGGCAATTGAACCTCGGCATTTGTCCGCACTCGAACTTCAAATGATACTGAAGATTATGTTTCCGACTGAAGACACTTTGGCAATTGCTGCAGGGGTACTTTGGGGCACTGGGGTCGCTCTGGCTGACGCGCCGGGGTCTTCGCTGGAACCACACCGAGTCTTCGACTTCTGTAAAATAAAAAGTAAAATTTCTTCTTAATTTAAGTACCAAAACCAATAAACTTATCAAATAATTTAATTACTAATAATAGGATTAATTTTTAGATAAAATTATGTGGGAAGAAATGAATAAAAGCTGTTAATTGTTTCAATTATATTCTTACTATTGCTGTAAAATATCAATGACATAGATCTCCTTGTCCGGATGTTGTCTTCTTACATGCGCGCGGACATTTGAAGTGTGTCGAGTTCTGTAACTGCAGTACGGACAATTGAACCGAGGAGATTGACCGCAAACATACTTCAAGTGTTGCTGCAAGTTCCAGGACCAGTTAAACGTCCCGCCGCACTTTGGACAAATGTGAACTCCGCGGCGCGACTCACGCGCATTCCGCTGCGGCAGGAAAAATTTTAAGTCTGTAAAAAAAAATTTTTTTTAATATTTCTTCTCAATATTTTTTTATTTTTATTTATTTTTTAATTTTTAAGCACATAATAATTATTTAAAAAAAAAAATAATTTTTAAGTTAAAATTAATTAATTAAAAAAAAAATTAGTTAATTTTAAAAAAATTAATTAATTTTTAAAAAATTAATTATTTTTTAAAAAATTAATTAATTTTTAATACTAAATTTTTAAGTTAAATTAAAAAAAAAAAATTTTTTTTTTTTACAATTAATTAATTTTTTTTTATTTAATTTTTTATAAATAAAATTATCGATAATTTTCAGGATTAAAAATGTCGACGGCGTAAACTCTTGTTCCAGGATGCTTCCTGAGGACATGCGCACGCGTATTGGACACATGGCGAGACCGATAGACGCAGTAGGGGCAACAGAACCTCGGCAATTGGTTGCAGACAAATTTCTTGTGGTAGCATAGGTTGTCTTTCCGGTTGAAGACACTTGCGCATTGGTCGCATGGGAACCTCGGCTTTTCCGGCCAATCTAAGACAGAATAAAGAAATTTAGTTTAGAAAGAATAGGGAAATTTTTGGAGCAATTTTTTTTTTTGTTAATTTTAAGTTTATTAATATAAGTACGGGTTTTTTTTTTTTAGCGCTATCGAGACTTCTGGCCTCTGGTGTCGATTACGAACACTTGCGAGCCTGGGTGGATTCGCCGGATGTGTCTTTTTACATTTGAAGTGTGCTTTGCGGCGTAAGGACAGTGCGGACATCGCAACTGTGGTAAGACTCCGCAGTCGTAGTTCACGTGCTTCCAGTGGTACGTTTTGCTGTACATGTTTCCGCACTTGGGGCAGGGGAACTTTAGGCCTTCGTCGGTTATTATGCCGCCCAAAGCTATAACATTTTTAAAGGAAATTATTGAGAAAATTTGTATTTATTGGATAGGGAAGAAATGTTATAGCATAAGTTTTTTAAATTTGACACTGAAATTTTTAAAAAAATTGTTAAATTTTATTTAAATAATTTTTATGGCTTAGATTATGTAAAAAAAATTTTTTTTCTAATTTTATCAAAAAAAATTGATTAAAAAATTCATTTTTTAAAATAATTTTCAAGGCCTAAACTATTTTTTCAAAATTTCTTCTTTAAAAATTATAAAATTTCTTTTTAAATAATTTTTTATGGCTCAGATATTTTTAAAAGATTTATTGAAAAAATTTATCAAGAAAAATAAAATAAAAAATTCATTTTTAAAAAATTTTATCAAGAAGAATTGATTAAAAAATTCATTTTTAAAAATTGTTAAATTTTTAAAAAATAATTTTTTTTTTCTAAATTAATTATCCAAAAAAAAATAATCTTATAATTTCAGTGTCATTTTAAACTTAAAATAATTTTTTACTTTATTTACAAAATAAAAAAAATTTTCTAAAATAAATCCAGCAATTTATACACATTAGCTTAAATTTAATAAAGTAAATAAAATGCCATTACTAATAACAATAATTAAAATATTTTATTGACTAAATTTAATAAATTTTTCAGGACAATATACATCATCTACATAAACTTCACACCCCAGATGTCTTCTCTGAATATGTATTCTAATATTAGTAGTCTTCTTAGACATCAAGTGACAGTAAGGACACTTATACCTAGGCGGTTGTCCGCACTCCCATCTTACGTGAAAATTAAGGTTGGTTTTTCGGTTAAAAACACTGTTGCATTTACCGCAAGGATATTTAGACTCCGGTGATTTGTGTCCTTGCTTTCCTGTAAATCATATTACTTTATCAATTAAAAAAAAAAAAAAATTGGGAAGAAATGACTGGCTTAGAGGTTAGTAGTGCATGAAATAGAGTCGCTTGACAAGATGGAGGAGATAAGAAGAACAGTGGTGAGTTTCATAACGAAATAAATTTATTATTAATACAACTTTTTTAATTAAAATAATTTATTTATTTATTTATCAACTAGTATGCCGTGAGCTGTCATAAGCATCAATCAAGAAGACATCCCTGCCCTTGTGAGCCCTGCGAACGTGGACGTACATGTTAGAAGAATTATTCGAGCACCTATTGCAATAAGGACAAAGGAACCGGGGAGCCTGTCCGCACATGAAACGCAAGTGTTTTCTCATATCCCCGAAATTTTTGTAACTACGACTGCACTTTGGACACGAGTACCGATCACTAGAGTCCTTTTGCGCCCAACTAGCGGCGGAACCTGCAACTGACCATAAAATTTGTTAGTTAACTAGAGAAGACTATAGACTGTGGAACATGCTGAGAAGCTATAAGTAGTACAGAAAATAACTTAGAGGTCTATAGGGGCGTCCAAGGTGAAGTCGATAGTGATCAGACCTGCATGCTGAGTTCGGATGTGCCGCGACATGTTCGACACAAACGCTGTTAAGTAACTACAGTTCGGACATTGGAATATTCGCGTGTTCCGGCAGGCCTTTGGGTTCTTTAGACAGTACTTGGAACGGTGCTGAACGAGACTGTTGTATTTTTCGTATTTCTTCTCGCAGAATTGACAAGTAAATTTTTCTTCTTCTAATTTATCTTCTAAATTTTGCGGATTTTTTTTAATCAATATTTCTTCACTGATTTTTTTATCTGTAAGTAATCAAAGGAATTATAATTACTTAGTTTGTTTAGGAAGAAATTTATTTTGCACGAGCAAAAGCATTCACAAGCCTAATAAATTGCTAAAGAAAAAGAAGAAATGATTATGGATGATTTTAATTGTGTTTTTAATTTTTTAGAGATATTTCTTCTTTTGGTTCCTGGAATTGTAACGAAATTTTTTTTTCTTCAAATTTATCTTCTAAATTTTTTGGATTTTTTTTTAACCAATATTTCTTCACTGATTTTTATTTGATCTGTAAGTAATCAAAAGGGTTATAATTACTTAGTTTGTTTGGGACGAAATTTATTTTGCACGAGCAAAAGCATTGACAAGCCTAAAAAATTTATAAAGAAAAAGAAGAAATGATAATGCACGGAAAGAACAATAACTTACTGTACATACTCATAAAGTATACTCCGTGGTATTCATAGTGAAAAAAATTTCAAACTATAGTCAATATCCTTTAAAGTATACTCGGTTAAATAGGAAACTTCACGGAGTACAGTTAAAAACTCATGCAGTATACTTTAAAAGATATTGACTATAGTTTGAAATTTTTTTCACTATGAATACCACGGAGTATACTTTATGAGTATGTACAGTAAGTTATTGTTCTTTCCGTGCA